GAGGTCTTGATTCATTCATGAATAGTTCATTTAAAGATTTTACTTTGTTAATTTCTATATTTTCTTGTTCTACTGGAGCTTCTTTCATAAGTCTTTCTGCCTGACCTTTTGTTAATTTTTTTAATACCAAACTAAAATCGAGATTTTCTTTCCTAATTTGTCGAATAAGTTTTATGGCTGGTTCTAATTCTAATTCATCAAAGTGAATATTGACTAGTTCATTATTTAATCCTTTCAAAAGTCTATCGAAATTTCTTATACGAATAAAACTAATATTATATGTTGCATTCGGGCATTTGTCAATTATTTCTTCAATCTCATGTATGGGTATATCAATTAATCTAATAGTTGTGTTATCTTTTTCATATTCTTTAATTATCCTCTCTGCTGTAATCTTATCAACGACTTCTCTTATGTTACGGTGATTCGACTTTTCTTTGTCATAGGAATACAATTCGACATATTGTAGATCTAAACAAGTAAGAACCTCTAATAATTTGTCTTTACTATCTGATATTTCGAGTGTAATACTATTAGACTGTATATTCCTTAATTTTTCTTTAACATTATATCCATCCAATCCAATAAATTCAATAGTTTGGATTGAGTGAGATAATACTTTTTCTTGAAGAACTTTTGATATTTCATTCGCAGATATGAAACTCAAATTACATTGTATGTTCTCGTCTGGTTGTCTTTTTTTAAGAATTTCTATTGCATCTCTTGCTTGCAGATTTGACTTCATTTCTATTTTATTGTTGTCCAAAAAAATTTCTAAATTAACAGGACATAAATCAAGAGACCAATTTTCTGGTAATAAATGCCGATGGAAAAAAGAAATTTTCTCTTTCAATTGTAGGAGTGCTACATCTCTTGTAGCTTCTTTAATTTCAATGTTAGGATTTAGAAACGCTTTCAATCTTTCTGCATTAATTTGTGTTATACTAACACTTATATATCTACCGCTATTGTTTAAGATTGGTGCTCCATATAGCACGTGTTTGGATACTGCCTGATAGATAATATTTTCCGCTTGATCGACAGTTCCACTGTCTTGTCGGACAGTTAGATCATTAAATGTTATTTCATATTTGCTATCGTTCGTTAAATCTTTGAGAAATACGGAAAAATCACTCCGAATGTAGCCATTATTTATTGTAACGTTTTCATAAATGATAACGTATATTTTTGAACATTCCTTTCTATCAAGGATTGTTCGATTATAATTCAAAGATAAAAGATAATACCTTAGCTCGTAATTTTCTATCTTCCATGAACCTAAGCTACTTTTTTCTTTTTTTTTCTTATAAAGAACAGTAAATTGGTTTTCGTCGTCTTTAATGAGAGCAATTTCTTTACGATTTTGAATAGCATCCATAATATCATTATCTACATGATCATGTGATATCAAACGGATACCACACAATTCGCCTCGTTCTTTCTCTATTCTATCGTATGATATGATCCTTCTTGCTACTTCTGTTTCATTGGTATATACTGATCTACGTGGGTAATCGATTATTTCTTTTATTTGAATTAACCTTTGAGACTTTCTAACAACAGCTACAACATTTTCTAGACTATTACAATAAGTACCTAAAATATTGATTTTCTGGATTAATTGTTTAGATAGAGCAGTATTCATATTGGGACATCTGTGCTGTAGAAGTGTTTGTATAGATGTTAGTACAGCCATTTCTTCACTCAAGATTTCAAGTGCTCTGTTAAATGCTCGGACAGCTGATTCTTTATAATCTAAATCTAGTTGATCTGAGAAAATGAGTCTTTTCTTGCCTTTTAATAATAACCATCCTGTTCCAGCAAAAGCAGCTGCACTATGATCTGGATCAAGTTCTATAGCTCGATTGAAATGTTTCATTGCTTCTTTATATTTACTAATTAACGATGAATCATTAATAACTAAATCATTACCAATAACGATATGATAGTATGGATTTTTAATAACACAATTATCAGAATAATCTTTAATGATTCTTTCACGAAATTCTGCATATTCTTTATGAACTTTTTCAATGTCGATAGAAGATTTTTGATCATCAATTTTACGTAAAAACATTGCCCATTGTTCTTCAATACTAAGAAGTACATTCGATTCATATACAGAAGGAGCAACATTTGTAAATACACTTTTAACTTCATTTTTTATAGTAGAAAATAACCTCATTTTTTTTCTAATGTCTTGTCGTATTTTATTTAATAAAGAACAAAATTTGGCGAAGAGTTCATCTTTTAAAGTAATTACTTTAAATTCATAGTCTTCAAAATTGCTTAACATTTCTGCTTCAATTCTATCTCTTAACTGTGTAATTTTTTGCGTATCAAAATCTTTATTATGTGTTAAACTAGCAGCATTTAAAATTCTCTGACCAGTGCCTCGTTTACCTTGCCGTGCAGTTCTACCGAATGCTTGTTCTTCAACACGTTTATTCGACGGCATAAACGTTACAATAACATGAAGACCACCATTTTTCTCAATTTGATCAGTTTTTATATCGATACCTCGTCCTGCAAGGTTAGTAGCGATAATAATCTCACCAGGATATACTGCTTCTACGTTTTTCTCTTGATTCATATTGTTCATTGTATAGAGTTTTATTCCACTCGAACGATATTCTCCTTTGAGTTTTTCTGCTATTAATATGCTACGTTCGATGGTCTCACATATAATAAGAATTCCTCTTTCTTTGCTCGATTCATTCATTGCAGAACAGCAAACTTCTTCAAGCCACTCAGTTTCATTCATGGCTACCATATCAGGCAATGAAATATATTGTTTTCGACGTAAATTAGGAATTATAACAAGATCAACTTTATATGCATCGACTAAGACTTGTTTTGTTTTTTCCGAGCCGAGTGTTCCAGTGAGACCGAACAAATTCGAACCGTATCTCGTGAAATATCCTCTATTCGATAGAAAATTTGTTGTAAAAGTCTCCGATGTCATTTTAAGATTATGTTTTATCTGCAGAAATTGATGCAAACCATCGCTCCAATTTGTAGAACTTTGCACAATTCCTGTACTATAATAATCTACTGGTTTGATCAAATCTTCTTGTACAACATAATGTACTTTTTCCTGATAATTTAAGGCAACAATAGCATTATCTATCCATTTAGGTATTTGTGTATCAACAAAATCGACAAAATTTTTTGGTATTTTAATACTAGTTTTAATTAACTCTCTGACATAAATATCTAAAATTTTCTTTATAAATACATCAAGTTCCTCGTTTTCTGGAATAGATTGTCCCATATGACTTATATCGGATGTAGATGCTAGATACGTTCTCAGATCAGAGATTTTAATAATATTTCCTTTTTCATCTGCATATTCTAGAATCATCTTCCCTTCTTCAAATCCGACTTTTCCATATAACAAATACATTTTATCATTGATCTCAATAATTTTATCTTGCAGATAAACAATTCGATTCCATAAAACATGATATATTATGTGTAATTGGTCCATACCAGCCATACTAGTTGCGAGTCTAGCAATTTTCGAACTGTCATCAATTAACATACTATCTACTTCGTCAACTATAGCTACTTCACATTTTCGATCATCTAGAGTATTTAGTTGTGCATACTCTGTTCTCAATATATCGAATTGAAATTGTGTTGCTTCACCATACACAATATCTTTCCAGTAACATTTTTTAGGACCTGCCAAATAAATTGACTTATCGTTGTTATCACTACATTGAAGGTCGAACATATTATAGAATTTTGCTTTTTCTTTCGCATCTCTTTCTGCGAGTACTGGTGAACTCGTAATGATATCTACTTTCTTGCCTTTTAAAGCATGAATTACTGCTAATACACTTACAATCGTTGATTTACCTTCACCAGTTCCTATTTGTAATAATCTTCCTTTATCAACATTTGCATTTAAAGCAATTAAACAACTTAAAATTTGAGCATCGGTTAGATTAAATTCAGTATGCAATAAATTCGCTTGTTTTATAACTGCTAGAGCTTCAATAGTGAAATCATTTATCTTAGTCCAGCAATCGACATTCTCTTTTACTATATCTGCCCACCGTCGTATTTGTTTTTCTGTCCATTGAGTGATATAAATTGACTGATCTCTGATAGTATTGTCTAATACTTGAGAAATTAAATCAGAACGTTTGATTCTTTCTACGACCTCCAGTAAATTTATCCCCATGAAATTTTTCAAATCTTCATTATTAGAATTGATATTTCCTAATTCTTCTATTAATCCTACTGCACTTCTTATTTCACCTATTTCGGAAAAATTACTTTCAATTGCAAGTCTATTGACTTGTTGCAACCATTTCTCAGGTGGTTTGTCTAGAGCTAATAAAATTTTTTCTTGATTTTCTGGCGTAGGAGAAATTTTATATTGCGATAATATTTCTAAAACATGCAGAAATTTCTCTTCTTTTACTCTTTTCTCTACGTTATCAGAGGTTTTAAGTTTACTAAAAATTTTATTTAATTGTTCAAAAGTCCAATTTTTATCTAATAAATTATCAATGTTCAGAGCTAATTTCAAACGATCAGTTTTAACTATTTTCTTACCTAAAAATTTTATTTCTAAAGATCTTTTCAAAACTGAAATTGTTGTCTCTTTAACATAGATATCAGATATTTCGATATTGTTTTCTTGAGCAAAATTCAAAACATTTTCAAATTCTCTTAAACTGTCGATATTTTCTAAAGCATTTAAAAGTTGATGACTAATGTTCAAGTCAAATTTAGACATCATATTCACTGCTAGATCATCAATATATTTACTATTGATATTTTCTTTTTCCGATAAGAGTTGATCGAGCAACTTTGCCAGATACCGTTTCTGCAAATCGAAGCAAGGATTCTTACTATACGATAAGATCTTATGTGCACTTGCAAAGTCAATTCTATTTAAAATTTTTGTTACACCATAAAATTTATGAAACGACATCGTATTATTCAATAGGATACGATGTAATAATTTCAATAATATGTTACTTTTGCCATTCTGAAATTTTTCAAGTTCTTCAATTTCAAGCCAAGTTTTATAAAAAAGGAAACGCTCTGCTTCACTTATTTCGAGTCTCTCTATTAAATCGAATATTAACAGTTCTCTATTCCACTGCTCTTGTGGCTTATCACGAATTTTCTCAAAGTCGATATATTTCACTGAAGTTATAGTTTCGAATAAGTCTAAATCAAAGTGAACTTCGGATTTAGTTTTTTCTTCCAGTTTATCAATAATATTATCACACCATTCTTGAAAGTCTAAAGATTGATATTCTCTTTCATAAGCTGCTCTTAATCCTCGAAATGACCAGCTACGAATTATATCTTCATCACTGAAAAGATTAATTTCGAAAGGTTCTAATGTTGAAATTGTTCTAGCTTCAGATGCCAAAGCAAGACATACAAGTATGTCGAAATGATACTTAAAATAGCTGCCGTTCTCATCTAAAATATCTATGAAAACGTCGAATACACGAGAAAAGTTATTTGTCTGACATTGTGTACGTTTGATAACTTCCTTATATGCATCTAGAATATTTTTATCGATCTTTTTGGATAAAAGAGCCATTTCTAGCCTGTCAACAATCGATTGATTTAAAGAATAATCAGGATTTTCTATTAATATTTCAGCAAAGATATCGAGTAATTTTTGTTCGACGTCTATATTGAAGCTATTTTCTTCTATATGATTCGTCGGAATTGGAATTAAAAGTAGTTTTTCAATTGATAGATGAGAAAGTGTGTGATTTCTCTGTAATTCTTGTCGTATACTATTTAAAAATTCATCAAGAATCGTGATATCAATACTCATTGTTGGATCTATTTTGGAGAAAAGTGCTATTTTATCTTTCAATTCCTGTGAAATAGTTTGATTTTTAGAAATTCTTTTCAAGATTTCTAATGGTCTTTCGTTTTTATCTTGAACAAAAATAAGTGATATAATATCATCCGTCAGTTTTCTTCCAGCTTCAGTCATTTCATGTATTAATCGACAACATAATGAATTGATCGTTTTCGAATTAGTACTAGCCAATAAGACACCAATACTATTTAACAATTTGTCTGGAATATCTTTCTTATTCGAACACTCCATTAGAATGTTCAATGCCTTGCTATTCAACTTTGGACAATTTTCAATTATAGAATTTATTTGATCAAAATTTTGTTCTAGTAATTTAGGTTTATCAAACGTAGCTAAAATATCTAGGAATTGATCGTTCGAGTCATACTTAAGATTACAGAGTTCAAGTGTACATTTTTGATTCTGTTCTAGTTTAGAACTATCTAATATTTTGTTAATTTCCTCTTTCATACTTTTATCACAAATGGTCTTTGCTACTAGACTTAACAGAACCTCTATGCTTTTAACTTGTAATTTAACTGTACCGAGTGAAGCAAGTTCGATAAATCCACTGATACTTTTACAAATAACGTCTTGATTGCCTGTTTCAAGAGCATGAATTAAAGCTGATTGAACACGATCGATGAAACTAATGTCGAACACTTGAGAATGTGTTTTTGAAGAAGAAGAATTTTTAGAATCATATTCAAAGCAGTCTACTTTTTTAATTACTGAACAAATAACAGATAAGTATTGCTGCATGATCAATGAATTATCTAGACCTGAAAATTTATCTAAAATTTTTGAAATGATGTTTGATGATAAGTTTTCTCCTTTTTGTCCTTGAAGAACAAAAATGAAAAGTACCTGATCATACATATGTTTATATTCCAACGCTTTCTCCAATTTCAATGAGAGTTCACTTGGAATATTTTGATTGTTTTTAACTAAACTTTCAAAAATTTGAAGCAAGTAATACTGTTTTTGTGCGGGATCAAATTTTTTTACAAGTTTATCAACTAACTCATTAGGTATTATTTGTCCATTAATTGAAACATTATGTAAAACTTTCAAGATTTTTTCAACAGGTAAAAACAACCCATCGATTTGTTTATTTATTTCTATAAATCCATTAATTGTTAGTTTTTTACCTTCTTTTGTTTTTGTTAGTAAATAAGCAATAGCATAATAACTATCCCAATAACGTGAATTAATATTAAGAGCAGCCCTTTCCAATTCTAATATATCAAATATTTCATCCGATATATCTTGATTATCATTAGCTGTATCGAGTAATTGAAAAGATTTCTCTCTTAGTTGTTCATTGTCAGTTAGATAAAGTGTATCGACAAAAATATGAAGAATTTTATCACTGACGATTTGTTTGTTTTTAATCATGTTTTCAAATACTTCTAAAACTTTATTAGAAAATTCTGGTATATCAACTACATTCTCTAATGCAAAAATTGTACTCTCTGGTATAGGATGTCTAGCCGCTGAATAACGACGAAGTATGTCGATTACGTCTGCTTGCTGATGATTTTCAAACAATAAAATATGGTCAAAAATTTGAAATACATTATCTTTAAATTTTTCAATTTTATCATCATTCAACAAAACATATAAAATATTCTGATTGACTTCATCAGCAAAACTTTCTTCGCCTAGCTGTAAATCTTCGAATACATAAATTGTTGGTAAAAATTCAATAAGACTCCTTATAATTGGCTGTTGTAATTTTGACAATTTCGCTAAACTATTGGCATATACAACGATTGAGTAGACAGAAACATCAGGTATTCTATCTTCTACATGTTCTCTTAATTCAAGTAAAACATTGTTTTTAATACGATGAGTCTTTAAAGTCAAATATAGAGATTTTGCTGATAAAATGCGTGTTTGTTTATCATTACTATTAAGTGCCTTAGCGAGATATTCAAGACTTTCCTCGGCGATTTTTACATTGTTTTGCAAAGACTTGACAAAGATCTGAGCTACTATGGATGAAATCGATTGACAATCAGAGGTATCTTTTGAACTTTTCTCAAAAGTAATATCAGTTCCTTCTCCAACTATAACCCAGTCATCTAATAATTTAATTGACAGTTTATCAATCTTTGTTATTATCTGTTTTTCAGAGACGATTCCCAGTGTGACAATAATAAAATTGTCAAATTTATCATCGATTTGATTAATATTATTGATCAGAGCTTCGATAAGAAAATCGGACAATTTTTGTTTTTTCTCGACAGTCAAGACAATGGATCTTAATGCTTCAAGTTTTAAATCACTGCTATAATGCGGATCATTTATGAGATCAACATAATTTTCTAATTGAGCTTCATTCAAACCTTTACTATAACTATATTCAAGATAATTGTTAATAATAGCACAGCAAATTATTTTCGTCTCTTCGTTCAAAGTAGTTTTCCTAACTAAGTCACTTATCGTTAAGATAACGTCTTCATTAAATAACTCGTTACACCTGTTCACGTCCTTACTCTGTTGATGTATGTAGTTTATTGAATCATCAATATTGACATGTCTTTCTAGGTTTGCCAAACAATTTTCAAAAAGACTTTTATAATTGATAATATTACTATCTCCTAGAGTTCCCAATATTCTGATTACAAATTGATTGAATTCAATATCATTATCTGTTAGACATGTTTCAATTTTTTTCAATCGTTCTTCGTTTAAGATTGCACTATTTCTGATAGCACAATTATAAATAGTTGAAATTGCTGCGAGTCTGATTTGATTAACTTCATATGAGAGAATGTTCTCTAATTCTTTAGAATCTTTGATGCGTTCTACATCGATTTTACGTGCGACATTTGCAGCAATATCTGGATCGTTTACATACATTTTTAGCGGTCTTCTGAGAAAATCGATAATTTTTGTATCGTTTCTGCTCTGATTATATAATGCAATAGTTTTAGCAGCCTCTGTTTTTTTAGTAGCTCCACCTAAAACTTTTTCTTCTACTTGATCGAGAGTATCTATACAATCCATTAGTAGTTTTATCGCATTTTCGTGTAATATCTTTTTTTTTGAAATTTCAAGAAATATAGCAGCAATCATTTTATCTACAAATAGTGGCTCCATGATTCTATTTATACACTTTCCATACGATCTTAGAGTGCTGACAGTAGGTGATTCAACGGATTTTTTTATACTCATTATACCCAACCATATACCCGTAACTACCGGGTTGGCCACCATTATTCCTGTGTCTGCGATTTTTTCGCTACACCATTTTTTCCCAGGTCCTATAAACTTAGATGGTAAATATTCGTCTTTATCCTTTCTCTTCAATGTTTTTCCACTTTTTATTCTGTTATAAAGATGCACAACTTCGTCATAGGTATCTCGAAAAATTGATGTATCACTTCCATCCTTATCAGGTATAGTTGGAAGACTCTCTGTGTTAGAGTTCATTTTAATTTTCTTATTTAAATTCTTAAAAACATTCACTGAATTTAATTTATCAGCTGATTCTTCTGATTGAGTACTTTTATATTTAATTTTAGTTGTTTGTTGATTTTTCGTCACAAATTTTTGAGGCATTTTCTTCGAATAATTAACTGATGTCTTTATTCGTACATGAGAACTTTCTCGATAGTCTAAATGATTTCCGTAGAAATATCTTTGAAGTTGATCATTTAAAAATATTACAGAATTTCGATTGAGTTTATTTTCTGATCCTTCAATAATACTATTGATTTCGTCGATAAAATTTTCGTTTATTATCTCTTTAGAATCTTTAGCAAAAGAGTTGCTAAGTTGATAGCTCAATGCCCAAACAAACTCAGACTTAACCAGAGCATCATTATTTTTCCTTAAGACTTCCAGAAGTTCTTTAGGTTTCACACTAGCAGTGTTATTTTTAATAGAATATTTTATTGTTTGAGCAAGTAATATTTTAGTATGATCATCAATATTTTCAGCTACTAAATTTTGATAGATTTGATCCCATTTTACTTCTGGTAGACCATGTTTACGTGCAATATGTTTTATCTCGTTTGGTACATGTAAATGAAATGCTCTATCTATTTGATAGCCATTATTAAGCTGACTAATTATTCGTTCTTTATTAAAGCTTTTACATTGTTTGCGTAGCTCGTCTACAATTGTTTGCTGATTTCGTTGCAGTTCTTTAGCACTATCCTTATCATCAATGTTTGTTAGTAAAAAATTTGAAAACATCACTTATCTTGTTATATTGTTTTTGCTAGAAGAGTTAACAACTATGTGAAATACAATATTGGTTGTGTTGTCAGACTTGGGGTCTATTTATCGATCTGCTTTTGTTTTTGTTTTCCTTTTATCTAAATGTAAAAGTTAATATATCATTTCAATTTAACTTCAACAAACATTATGTTCAGTCCTCAAATTGAACAAGCTATGTCTACAACAGGAAACAGCAAATTTGATTAGTAATTGCATTCCATAAAATCATGCGAAGATCTAAGGTGTCCGAGTTTCTTGAATACTCATAAATTATCGTGGGGTTCCACAGCACCCTCTCAAGTTTCATTAGGATTTCATATAAACCCCTTAAAACTGATTCCTCACTCCTTTAAGATTGTATGGGATTCGAAGAGCTTCTCATTAGCAGTTGCCCATGTCTGGTTGTGTTCTTAATAATATCATCATCAATGGTAGTTGGGATTGCAACTACAATTGATAGTTATAACTCGGATGGTTTTTGATAACATCACTGTTACTAAGAAATTCTCCCTCTATTTCAAATTATTATTCAACTCAATGCCAATGTTTGTGGCACAAAAACAAATACTGATTATCTGACAATTCTATCACAGGAATTGAAACGCTGAGTACAACAAAATCAATCTCTTTTTTGAACTGAAATAACTAGTGGGAAAAGCAAAGAATGTGAAAAATATAACTTTTGTCATTATTGTTTCTCTTTTTACGTTGCCTAAATTGTTTACGAAACAAAGATTTTCGTAATCGAAGTTATCGCTTTAACGTGATATTTATTATATGCATCATCCTAGCTCAAATACTTACACGATAAACAAACCAGTGGGCAGATCACACGATCGAAGACAGATGTAGAAGAATGCTCAAAAGTCAAAGAGCAGCGAAATTTTTATATCTGAGACAGAAGCAAAAGATTTGAGGTCTATGCATATATGCCCTAATAAAACATACAACTAGTCATTTTTGCTTCAACGATATTTTCTTTGGTAAAAGACATACATCTATTTGTATTTGTAGTTCCAATATTTCACTGATGTGTCACTCCAGTAAAGACATAGCCTATACTAACTTTTTCTATAAAATTAAGTAGCTTAAAAAGGAAGTATTTCCTTATGATCGAAAATGTTTTTTAAGTAATCTTACCCTTTTTCTGGAATTTTAAAAGGACGAAAAACTTTTTTTCGAGTTTTTCAAGAAATATCTGTGCTATTCGATTCAAAACCACATTCTCATTTATTCGAGATGAAAACTTGATAAATGTTGAGGACCGAAAAGAGTGTGGGCGTGGAGTGTGATTGTTCTGGAATCTACTTACACACCACCACCCACACACCCACCCTAAAATATGAATACATCTCTCATACAGAGGCCTGTTTATATACTGTTTTTCGTTATTCTCCATTGTATCAGTATTGACATTGAATATTCATTTAAAAAAGAAGAGCTGCATAAGATAAAATATCAAACTTGGGTAACCCCGTCAATAAACTCTTATCTCAGATGTTTCTCAAATTAGTAGTTGAGATAAAATTATGTTTAGATACGTGTCGAAATGTTATCATGTAGGAAGAGCATTGGGCAGAGTAATCGAACATGAACTCTAGAAAAAGGTTCTTCGCAAGTTCCTGTGGGGAGAACCTTTTAAAATTTTACACTCTTCACTGAACCCTTTTAATTTCAGTAGGGTGTGGGGCGTGGGTGTTCATATTTGCACCCAAAGCCTCATTTGCAGCCTCTTTCACACGCACGCACTTCACTTTATTTGGTGCGTGTATTAATTTGTAATCGAAGTGGAGACTTATCAGGCTTTCACGAAGAGTCACTTAAATATTTTCTAGGAGAGCTTCGATTGAAGACAAGTTCAGTGATGCTGTATGAAGAATGACTGACAGAACGGGATAACTGAACTTCGAATTGTGGTACTCAATATTTTTAGCCTCATTCTTTTTATCCGAGAAAGAAGATGGATTCGTTAATACTCATTTTTACTTTCTGATCGTTTGTATTTTCATGATAATCTCATATCCGAGATACGGTAGCAACCCAGTAAATACAATGGCAATCCTGGAATCTGGTTTTATCCCCTTCGTGAGAACCAAGTACAAATATCTAGAGAATATGGGAGTGTATGGAGTACCTCATTTCTGCTTGGGTTGAAGTCCGTATTTTCCAAGGTATAAATGACGTGCTCCGAGGAATTATTGTCTATACAAAATGCTTGAAAAAACGTTTGTTTTTGAAATAAATACGCCTAGGATTGCTCTGTCCACAAAACACTGTAGCAAAATAACTAGAATATCTGCAATAGTGTTTCACAGCTCGTGGAAGTTATCTTACTATTATCATTAGAAGTGTGTGATTATTAGGAAATCGTACATATGTGTTTCTTCGAAAAATATCGAATAAAGTTCATTACTGAAATAAGACTTAACCTTTAGATGTTTAAAACAAGTCCTCAATAGAGAAGTGGTCAAATAAAACGTAAGCTGATGGGTAATATATATGTATACATTATTTTCGAATATCAGTATCAAAGTAAAAATTCTTGTAAATGTTGCCAACAAATTCAATATTTTATCACAAACTAAAACTAATCAAATATAAACACAATTACACTGCATCTTTCTATTCACAAAAAAGTTTGTCTACCAAAACAAATAAACATTTCTTCATTTGTTCATAAAAAACAGTGTGTTCGCGTTTTCTATTTTTGACGCCAAAAACAAAAAGTTAAGCGAAGAAAAACATACACGCGTATGTAACGATAAATATACGACTCTGTTTGGTTTATAGCGTAATGACAAATTGGATAGAGGTGGAGTAGCTTACAGTCATCCTCGGCAATGATGCTTATTTGCTTCTTCATATATTCAGAGTGTAGCAACTTCATATATAACACACGTATATATATGTTGAGGGCAAAACTGGGATTTGGTCAAATTTAAGATTTGACCAGAGAAAACTGGGATCTCAATTTTGACCGGACAAAACTGAAATCCTAAGATTAACTAGAAATTTTTTGGACAAAATTAGGATTCCAATTTTGACCGGTCAAAATTGAAATTTGGTTAGAGATAAATTCAAACAATAAAAACAATAAAAATAAAAGTATGAGAGCTATACTTTTTCTTTATTAATGCGTATCTTTTTTTGCCTAAGAAGTGAATTAATATATTTTTCTAATTGTTCATAATAGTGCAATTCACTATTAGTTGTATCGATGGCTGTTGAATCTGATTGGGACATGTTTTTTTTTATTAAATGATACTGCGCAAATCTATACATCATCTCGACACAACCCATAGAAACATAATTTTTCTTTTCCCTCATCTCTGCTTTACTTCTAGTAAAGCACGTGGTTCTTAGAATTTATCTCTAACCAAATTTCAATTTTGACCGGTCAAAATTGGAATCCTAATTTTGTCCGAAAAACTTCTAGTTAATCTTAGGATTTCAGTTTTGGCCTCAACATATATATATATATAGGAGAAAGATAGAAGAGCAGGGTTGCCAAACCTCCTGATTTAGCCAGGAGAATCCTGGTTTTAGGCTTTTCTCCTGTTTAAAAAATCTCCTGGTACCAGGAACTGTTTTTTTAAGGTTTTCTCCTGGTTTCTCCTGGTTTTTGCAATTCTGTTTCACTATGGAGGTTAATGACATTTTGAATCACTAACGTAAGACAAATCAAGAAAAGAGAAAAACACAAAAGAGAAGCATCACACTATTTGATGAATGAAACGACTAATAAAAAAGTTTGTTTTCATTGATATATCTAAACTAAGATTATTACTTTTGTAGAATAATTCAATGGTAAGAACTTATATGCTATAGATAAAAAGACTTCTTTCGATATTAATCGAATTTTTCATACGGAAATAGATAAAAATCGGTGAAGCATCAAATTCATTACAGGAAATCCTGTATCACAGCTTTTAATACCTCTGAAAAGTCCTGATTCTGTTTCACTAAAACAAAATTCAAACGACTGTGAAATGATTAGTAATATAGAATACATCTGACTATCTTAGTTTTTTCTTACGCAACATTTAGACAACAATGTGCCCGTCAATAGCTCAGCAGCAGAAAATATCAATCAGTTTCGTGAACGAAAGTTCTCCTTTTCTTCGAATAAAGACAGCTAAATAGCTTCATGATTTCGATAAATATCTTCTGTTTCTTCTCCTGATTTAAAAAAAATCTCCTGGTCAACTCCTGGTTTTTTCGGCAGAAACTCCTGGTTTTAGAAATTTGAGTTTGGCAACCCTGCACCTTTATTATTGAGGCATATAATGATCACGCTCCATCATAATTATAACTCTCGTCATAATGTTTATACTGCATGATGATGCTTGTTGCACTTACTTTGAAAGCAGGGAAATGAAAATTTTGCCCGCATATCTAAAATTTTGGCATTTCATGTCTGTTGACTATCTGGACGGTGAGACCAATTGCCATGATGCGATTCGATTTTTGCTATGTAATCTTATCAGATGACTTATAGATCAATTTTAATACAAATGAATCAAAATCATGATTATTTTATTATTGCCGACGTTGCTTATTTTTATCTATTTTTGTGCTATGCATAACTCTGAAGAGTATTTCAGTATTTGTAATAAATAACATGAAACTGGTGGGCGAAAATAATATAACTCTATATTTGCTTGAAAATACTTTTTATTTAGCATAGAACTTACAAGTAACGCTCGGTGCTGCGCCTCGCTTAACCCTCGGTTGTATCTTGCATAAACAGTAAATAAATGTGCAGAATAATAAACTGTTTAAGGGTTTATGATAGTGCAACATATAATAAACCGTTTTCACCATGTGTGAAAATTTTCATCAACACATACACTACTCGCAAAAGGTCCCACTACCCCTAGAAATCTATCTAAACCTCAACCGTTTGGGCTTATATTATTACTGAACATAGAACTCAGTGAACCCTGATCGGCACGATTAACAACGATTGGTTTGTCCATTATACAAGAGAACTGCAGGATGAACATGAGTCTTATCTTCAAATAAGGGTATCTCAGCGCCAGAAGCAAATCTTATAGTATATAATACCTCATTACAAAGAGCAACGTAGCCTCTCTTTTCGATAAAAGTTTCATGCTAAACGGCCTTTATTTACCTGAGTTATTAAGTATTCTTTGACAATCATTGACATATACCTGACAGCAGTCTACCAGAAATTTCTGAGAATTTTGAACTTTTCTTCAACCATTTAGCTTGAAACTTTCACTAAAGAATGTTTCATAGTATAGAAGCTTTCGCTCAAATTTTCAGAATTGTAGCTAGCAATAAACCAGAGATTCGTCTCGAAGTCATTCTAGATGATATAAAACTCATTAAATCTTCAATTAATAGCCAATTGAAACGATATTTATGTGGTAAGTGCATGGTTATCAGAGTTTTATGTAGATGAGAAAATACTAGCAAAAAAACGTGAAATTCAATCTAAAAAATAGAAATGTATTTTTATGTCACTGAACAATGCTAGTAGAAAACTATAGTTAGTTATTATTTGTTAATTTTTTTCATTGTAAGATTTTTAATTGATTCGAATTTCTCATATATTTCTTCGTTTCTAATAAAGACTTGTTTTTTTATGTATAATGAAAAATGTGTGCACAAATATTAACTAGATCTTCTAAAATAAAAAGACATTCATAAAGGGCGTGGGTGAGATTGACACCCACACCCACACCCACACCCCACACCTTCTAATTCTTCTGAAAAATTTGCAGAATGCTGAAGTACTCTATTCTTTAATAAATGTTAATAAACGACTAACTACAATTGTAAATGATTCGAATTTTACAAAATATTTAACATTAAGGACATTTTCCTCTAATGGTTTATTATATGAGTTTACTAGGACAATACTTGATCGATTTTGTCTTAAAATCTTACCTAAAATTCACGATAAAATCGAATTTCTCAGTCTTGAATCATCATCTATGAAACGTATTCTACTCTTAACAAATTATCCTAATTTATATGAAATAGGTTTATATGATATTGCAACAGAAATAGCGAAAGATCTTTTTACTGGTAAGATATGTATTTCTCTAATTTATTCGAATATATACTTTTTAATCAGAATTTGATGACTACGGATATTTTTTTCTAATAAGATAGTTAGATACATTTTCAATTGTCTCGAGATAAAATTCTTAAATGTTAATTCTCAAAACAGAAACCATAATATAAAATAAATGTTAAAGAAGATCATATATAACATATAAGAAAATGATTAATGAGAGCAAAGAAAAACAGATGCATTAATGAATAAAACAAAATTTAATAAATAATCCAACATTTCGTGCCTCCCAAGATGAGAAAGTCACATCGAATAAAAGTGCATCGACCCTATTAGACAGTCAGGCACCATTAATTTATTACAAAATAGTTAATTACTCGAAAATGTGACTTAATCATTAGTCAGATATTGCCGTTCTTCTCAGAAATCGATCCATATTCTACTAATCGAACTAAATATTTATATCGAAATGGTAGTTCTTCTATGAAAAATATTTGAAAAACATTAATTTAAGTTATTAGTTAATTATTAGTTTTAAAAGATTCCCAATTAATAATTGGTCAAAGGTTGACCTCATTAGATGATCACTCAAATAATAATAAAAACAACGTGTGAAAACGCAATATAAGGGGATGCCTATTACTTTGGAGTGGCGGTTAACAGAAATTTTCAATGTTTATTTAGATGAAAGCTTTTTCATTCGTACGTTCAAAAATCAAATTTCATCACTTACTATTGACATAAATAAATGCCAAGATCGATACTCAATCCTAGATTCTAATAGATTTATATATACTCAAGTCTTTACTATGTTTCGTAATTTAAAATATTTTAATTTTGGTCCATCTTCTTCTGCTTATCACCAGTTATCATTTGGCTTTTCACCTCCAAGCGTTTTCTCTTCAACTCTATTAGAATTACATATCCTAGTAAACTCATTCAAAGATTGTCTTTATTTACTCGATGGTCGTTTCAGTCAACTTCATACATTCTATGTTACCATTTGTGATGTATCTCATAGATTGATAAAAATCAATAATGAAGTACGTTACTCGTATTAAAATCTTTTTTTATTCGAATGAATTTATGATATTTTTACCAATATTGATTATTTGCTCTTTCATCTTCTAGAAGAAACTGCCCAATTTAAAATGCTTCTCACTGATCCATCAATTGAAAATAAGTTGCTACGATGAATTTCTTATTCGCCTATTACACAGAATGTCAAATTTGGAAAAACTTAGTTTGTATTTTGTTTATGATAATGGATGAATTATTGATGGTAATGAGTTGGAAAAGAATATTTTGAATTATATGATGCGACTAAACCAATTTACATTTGATGTATGCTCAATTATTCAACCTGCTAATCAAATTAAAATGCCATCAAATGGAGATATTCAATATACATTCAGAAATTTTAAAAATAATCAAATTATTTCAGATATTAATTATTTTCCAGAGGCAAATGAATGTCATTGTCATATTTATTCATATCCATATACATTGACATATTACCATAATATAACGAATAATTTTCCTGGTGGATTATTCAAATATGTTCGTCAAGTATCATTATATGATGAATATCCTTTTGAACATGACTTCTTTCTGAGAATTACTCAATCATTTCCATGCATGGAAAATTAACTGTCTTTAATCGGAAAGCACAAACGAATGACAATCAAGAATGGTCAATTATTGAATGTTTTCATCTTACTGAACTTGACCTTGTTCAAACGCAAGAAAATTATGTTGAGGAATTTCTAATCAATACTAAAACGCGTTTATTAAATAATGTTACACTTCATATTAGTTGTGAGTCTTTACAAGGAGTAACGCACAATTTTACAAGAGATGCAACACGGATTAATTGCTCCAAAATAGACTGTATAGTTTTATACAGAAAACCAGAAGTTTTTTATTATTCAAAAGACTATTTTCCTAATGCAAAAGTAGTTTCATTATAATCAATGATTGTTAGAATAAAAGTTAAAAGCAGAAGAAAAGAAAATTATTTTATATTTCGCGAAAAAGAAGTAAAACCTATGCATCTTAAAAGGTCTATATAATTAAAAAGCTACTTTGCAATGGAGGAATAATCTTTATCTAGAATTAGAGTTGTTAATCTAAGCAAGAAAGTCATGGGATCGGATCTTATGTGATTGAACAAAGTACTTGTAAGACGCTATAAGGTATTCGAGATGTTACTAGTGTAATCACATCCTTGGCTGTGGATTGGATTATGGGAAAGTGATCCTTAACGACGGACGATGTTCGATACGTAAACCAGAGAGAAATTGGATCAATATATCTTACATTTCACTATCATTGAAGACCATTTTGAAAAGCAGGATAGATGTTATTCCTCACGTCTGCTGTCTTACTTAACTGCTCATCGCAAGAATTTCTGACAATGATCAGGATTGTTCAATTCAGTATCAGAAATTTCTTCAATACCTTTGAAGTTCAACTTAGAACTTTTAAGTCTATCAGCAGTATGTGAGAATCCACAATCTACCCCTGTGTATCAGGCTTCGTAGTCGTCCTATATTTCCCATATTTTGTAAAGTCCTCCTATAATTTCCTATTTTCGAGTCATTTTTCCTATAATTTCTATATATCTGAAAAAAGTGAAAAAATATCACTAAAAATTCATTTTGAACGCTATATGAATGATTTAAAGAACTATCAATGCATATATACAGTATTGGCCAAAAGTATCTCCGCATCAGATCTCAGCCATTACAAGTGCTGTTGCTCTGAAAACTAGATTTAATATAGATCTCGAATAATGTAGGACAGCGGCAAAACCCACGCCTTCATATCCTGAGTCACAAGAGAGTTATGATGCATAGGATTCTTTTCCATCGTGAACGTCATAACTCCAGAACAACAAAGCCTCATGAGCTGCGAGATATGTTATTTTGAAGGCCTGCATAGTGGCTATTGATGGTAAAAATTTTATCGAAATTCATTGAATTGTTGTGACGCTAGATTCATTTTACTGTAAGGATGGATATGCTCAGAAATCGTCAAACCTCATTGTGTGACCCATAATTCAGTATGACTTCAAAAGATCGATTTCACACATAAAAAAAGATAGTATCACAGACCCTTATTGTTCCCCAGGGTGTGGGTGAAACAAGAGAAACTGACACCCATCCTTCTGTAAGTTCATGTGAGATAACGGATGTAGATACACAAACATGTGAAATAAATTCATCAGTTTTCAAAGATTTCATCAAATGAGTTTCTTTCCAATTTGATAGTCCTATATCTTGAACGTGCGGACTCAGATATTTGATTGCATTCTGGTCTTTTAATGCTTCCAGAGGAATAACGATGACACTTTTTCTTCGAATCCAGGATGATCCATGAAATCAGTTTCAACAAGTGTTTTATTTTTCTTCAGCATTGTACGAAAATGAGATGACACTGATAGCATGTGCCGTGAATGAATTAGTTTCAGTTGATGCAGTGTGTTTGTTTTCAAAATAAACATAGTCTTGAAGAGATCAATGCTATTACAATATTCCACAATAAGTTCTGCGAGAACTCCACTAGTCTCATAAGACACCGGCAAAGATCATTTTCATGCCAGAGAAATTCACATGCAAAAAAATACAAATTTTGATGAATCTTGGTTTTCAACAAAAGTCGAATGAGCATCGACTATGTATCTTCCAAACACGAACAGCAATCATGATTAGACAACGAATGGAAGAGTAGTTCATGATGATGTCAACCAATGTGGCGAGATCACTCTCATAGAGTGAACAGTCTTGTAATATCAACTTCACAATATTAAAGTCTGTTGTGAAAGCATCACACAGCATATTAACGTGTTTCTTGGTTACATTCACTTGATTTACAACGACTTCGTTAGTCTTTTCGTTGAATTTACCTCCCATGACCAAAAAGTCCTTCATAATTACATTTATGAGTTTTATTATTGAATCTAATATCAGTATAGTGTTTGAGACACACCCAACAAACCTGACTATCGACGGCGACTGTTCGATATAAGTTTCCCAGACTGGTCACCAAGATCTAGATGTGTTTTAAGTTCTTGTAGTTTCGCGAGCTCGAGTAGAACTCCTATGGAATTATCCATATCAATCATCGAAGAACCTGGATGAATTGATTTCTTATGAAGTTTATTGATTATAAAGACGTCAACGAATTTTAATTAATGTTTTATGTTATCGTAGTTCTCTGCAGTTTTAGATTCTGACGGTAGCTTATCATTAACATTTAAAGTGTCCGACCGAGAGTAAAATTTGAACGATATTTGAGATTGTTCTTAGATACGATCCATATCTCACAATGAAATCTCTCAGTTTTCTAATTGAATAACCATCACAGGGCGTAGCATGCATTTCATCAGGTTCGTACCCACATTCAAGTAAAAAGTAGAGTTTACGATGGATGTAAGACGACTTGTTTACATTGTCGATCAATTCAGTGTGATAACGACTTGTAGGTAAAATGAAAAAATAACGAGATGTGGTGAAGTCGTTTAACTCATAACTACATCTTTGTCATAATGTGCCTAACAGTACGTTTCATTTCTTGTGAATCATCGAATGGGCCTAAACAAGCAACAAAAAGATGACGTATACCAACCTTCATTTCTCCTAGTTTCTATCCATAGTCATCACGAAAATTACAAAGAGTGATAGTAATATGTTATCTTTTCGTAGTATCATCAGCTAGCTACTCATGGCCACCCATTCAAGAGAAAAAAATGAATGCAATAACTCACGAGTAATCATATTGGATTAAGAAAATTTTACTGATTGCATAGTATGAAATAGCAATTAGTATCATAAGAAAGATTCAAGGTAGGAAGTTGATAAGAACAAACGAGAAAATATAGAAAGGTCCTCTGAACTCAGTTTTAGGATGATGGGAATCTGACTTGAACAACTTTATTTCAACATAACAACTAACTCAACTCAATGTGAATGCGAAATCGAACATATCGAATGGATTTTGTATTTGTTGATATTATTCCACTCCGATTGAGATGCTCACGATGTTTAATCGTGGTAATTTTCACGATATTTCAACACTTTTACTTTGATGATGTTCTATTAAAATAAGTCGTCCGAAAACACACTGAGATAATCATCTTGTATAGGTTGCACTGTAAAATCACAATTTTTCGTAAGAAGAAAAAGTGACTTTGCGTATCAAAAAGAGTAGTTCGAATTTTTTCCTACACAGTTTTTCTCAAATATATTCAATCAAATCATTGGTTCTCGTAAAAGTCGCATCACATAGGTTAAAATGCAATGTAAAAATAGCCGTGCAATTTCTACTTTGAAGATGAAGAACATTGAAAAAATATTAATTCTCAAGTGAATAAAAAAAACCTTGAAATTCAAAGTAGATCAGTAACTGTACACGATCCGAAATCTGTCTTCTGTCCATCTATAATTAAAATGAATTGGGTAGTGTTAAAATATACGTTGAATACTATTGAATTCAGTTATGAAATAAAAGAAAATAATGAATCAAACGACTTTGCAATGAACTCTTTTCATTGTCTTTTTTGAAATTGATGCATATTTCATTTCCCGTCCACATAAATAGTGATGTTGTCATCAAAATCTCGGTGAAAAACAGTTGTACAGGGATATGTACATTGCTGCATGTAACATATGAATGATACTTGGCTTATTAGAAGGTTCTGTTAGAATATAGACTATTTAGATTTAGCTTTAGAAAATGATGTAAAAAGGTTAAGTGTGTTTAAATTCCTTTTTAATTTATCATCTAGTCGAACTTTCAAGTAGTCAAGATAAAGAGTAATCAGTGCGTGTGCGCCTCTTCACATATTTCCAACTCATCTAAATTTGATTAGAAAAATAAGTGTTCGATTCTCATAGAAAGGATACAAATAAAAAATGAGACAGTCTTGAAAGCGATTCACTTTAAATTGAGTAACTAGTTAACGCTGAAAGACTGGTATTTGATATTATATAGAAGACGAAGTGAAGAGAAAAAAATTTTGTTCAAGATGTGCATGCAAAGACTATCTGCATTGAACAGACTTTTCTTAATTTTCAACTCCATCGAATATGTTTGTATCTCTATTTAGTATTTATTTGATGACGATCACTTCTAGATGACATAAGAAATAAAAATACGATAAACTAGAGAAATTTGGCAAAACTTAAACGGTAAGTTCTCTTTTTCTTTGATTTCATGAACTTTACTTTGAAAGGGACCAGTTTTTCTTTCAAAACCAGTAATTATTTTCTCGCTTGGAATAATCTGAGCAGTGCCCGGCGTTACCAAGATTTTTTTGGTCACAGCCCCATAGAAGAAAACTATATTCTGAAATAATTCGTTTGTATCCATCTCAAATGAAATTCATCCGTATTACGATAAAGTTTTCACATTTTCTGTTCGAGAAAAACTATATTTATCACAAACTATAGCTTTTGTCAGCTGCTCATTTTTCACTAAATAAGTAACTTTCAATTAAAAATAAAATCATCTTTAATGAATAAGTGGGAGAGGAATGGTCGAAAGTTCGAAATGAATAATTTTGGTCTCGTCCTATTTAATTTTCGCGCCCATCAGTAGTCATCAAACATCGAGTCCTTTGAAAGTTCGTTCCATCGAATATTTATTTTTGAGTTTTCAGGCCTATTTCGGTTACGCAGAGCAGAGCTTTCTGGGTTTTTTATACGAACATTTATCATCTAATCATTAAAGCCACCACAGAAATCAGTTCATATTTCTGATTAAGACATGTCCGTATAAAAATTTTATCATTTAAATTGTTCAAAATTATTTCGAAGCATTATTTTCCCACTTTCTCATGCAAATCAGTGCATGTCGGCAAACTTTATTTATTGAAAAAAGGTTTTGAAAAAGAAATTGGAATCTGACAAGCTATTTATCTTATCCTGTTGTGAAATGTTTTTTTTAATATTTTCCTAACTAAGACACTAGAAATACAATTTTAATAGCATTGGATTCAGTTTTACAATAAAATAAAATATTTCAAAAAAGTGAAGGAAGTGGTTTTGTGTCGAGCTCATTTTATTTTCTTATTTTAATTTTGAAGTGAGATAATTGATTCAAATCAACCAAAATAAGTGACAGAGATGTTTATACGTATTGGCTGAATATAGTTTATTTTGGCTATAACACTCTTGAAACAATGGAATTCATTAGTTAAATTATATTCATTTCTAATCATTGATTATGCTGTTCATATGTTATTTCTAGCGGAGTCCAACACATTAGTTAAAATACTATTAGTATTCGCTCTTTTTATACACATCCACTCATACCACACCATATAACTCGTATGATGTGTAAGAAATCATAGCTAATATCTCTTAGAGTTACACTTGCCAAGATTTATTTAATCAGAAGACGCATCTGCGTTGCCTCAATACAGATCAGATGGAAGTTTGAAAGTACAACTAACTACATTGTGTATATTCTGCTTTACTGAAAGTTATGAACAGTTCTTTATTCATATTTCTGACGACAGAGAGGTGGGTATTTTGTAACCTGCCTGGTTGGTAGTAACTGAAGGACTACTTGTCTTTATTTATTCACTACGTATTAGTTCTAAACTATTCTTGTAATCTGTCGAGTAAAAACTGCCAAACGAAAAATTCATTTAAATAAAAAATTTCATGAAGATTATTTACTAAAAATAGCCTATACTTGTGTCATTTTTCAAAAGAAGGAAGTTTATATCTAAAAATAGTGGTAGAAGTTCTAAAATAATTTTAAAACTCATCATTATCGTAGTCAACGAAGATAAACTCTTGAAAATTTTGACAAAGTATTGAATCCATAGAATACCAAATAATTGTGCGACCTTTGCCATCTATAGTTTTTTTAGTATTGATGAAAATTTATAATCAAAGTTAGTTCTAAGCAAAGAATATCTGTGATTTGTCATACCATTAAACATATTCTTAGTCATCGGATTGAAATACATAAAGGCTAGCCGATGTCTGAGCAATTAAAAGCATGTAATTTGCATTCAGATAAAAAACTATGAAATGAGGAATATATTAATATTGAGCAAAAGAAAGATTGCGTTAACAATACAAGGATGATATTGACACAAATTAAGGAACATTGACAACTTCTGATGTGGGTTATTTTATTGCTAAACGTTCTATCACTAAGTAGATGTAACACAGTTTTCTGTCAAAGTTTTTAAGAGTTTGCTTTTGTTGAATGCAAGAAAAATATATTTTAAACGTATTTCAGAACTCTTGCAATATTCCTTGTATTCACGAAAGATCTGTCCCAAGAATCTCTACAATAAGCTCAATTTTTCTCATGCAATGATCCTCTATACGTGTGAATAAAATTGTTCAACTGAAGCCGTTTCTATTTGCAACGTATACAGATATGTAATCAATTGAAATTAGTTGGAAACATGTGAGATCAAAAAACTACAGAGGAAAACACTTCATAACTCGTAATAATTGACTTCTTTTTTTTATTGTGACCCGTTTGTTTGATGTACCTTTTTTTCTCAGCAAGTTATATAAACAACCACAAAGTTAGTCTCAACACTCAAAGATCTCTTAACAAGAAAAATGCTTGATAATATTTCAGATAGAAATCGATTTAACGGACAATATTGAACTAGTTTTACACTTAATGTGTATTCTTAAAGAGACTGGAGTATACAAGAAAACTTTCTTCAAAATACGAAAGTTTGTAGACTATGCAATCTAGAGTTTCTGTGGCAACAGAGCTTAGAACCATTCATTTAAATTTTTTCAATAATTGAATCCACATTATAATTCTTATTGATAATATGTGAATTTGAAAAGATTACGCATATGTTTTCACAAAGAGAAAACTAGTTCAATGAGTTATATGATGACTGGAATCTGCATACGGATCTAAATTCTCTGTCATTTTCGACAGTTTCTAATGAAATCCGATAGTCACCGCGATGATGAACAGTCGCTGCATATTTATCTACTTTAGATGACGAAAAAATTTCTACGAGAGAACGTTGTAAACTAGGGCCGAATTTTAACGAGTCTATACTATTATTTGGTAGACAGAAAGTCATCAGTAATGCTGATTTTTAAAACAAAACAATCGATAGAGTATTTGAGTACAATTTGTCATGCACCAAAATAACATGTCAAGTGCGAATAACTATCAATTTCAATCTTACAATCGTACGAGAGAATGATAAGCTCTATCGATTGGATGCATCACAGCTTTTCGATGCTAATTCAATATTAACGCGTAGGCATAGTTTGATTGCCACTATGAAGCAAGATCACGTATGTATTTTGTTCTCCATGAAAGCTTTGAGGCATCAAATTGATGCAAGTATTTCTTTATTTTGACTTTTCATTAACCTTATGCGATCGAAATGGCTAGTCATTCACATTCGCTATTTTCTACATAAAGAAATTAATTTGAACGATAACGAATTCTTGTCAAGTCCTCTATTCTTTCTTTCATTATTTTGAAACTTAACATCATTAATGACTTATGACTTTGGCTATCTAAGTTCGTATAAATGATAACGAAGCTCTATGAGCACAACCTTCGAAGTCTCACACTCTTCATTTTATCCATCAAAGTTTTCAAACATTTACACATAAACTATGGTATGGAAGACTCCGCACTTTGAAGTCTTCGAAGACAGAGACAAACTCAAATGGGAAACGTCAGAGTGATTATAAGAGTTTTTAGGATAGTTCGCCATAGATTTCCTTTTTCAATAATCAATGCCAGAGCATAGCAAAAATCATTATTATTCTTAGTGAGGGTATTATGAGATATGAGAGTGTGGGGTCTATATTAAGTTTATCTTACTTTTCATAATCTTAACATAAGGACTCAATATGGCAAAGATAAGTTAGAAATATAAGAGGAATTTTATCATTCCTATAGTATAGAACTACCCGAGGAATCCGTATCTTTCTCAAAAGCTTTGTCGGATTATGAGTGACTCAATATAGTGAGATGGTATAGGGATGTGCGGTGTGCGTTTACTGAGCACCGATAGACACCGACAGTGACGCTCAGTGCACACTGATAGGTTCAGTGCCACTGATCACTGAAATATTGATCACACTGACACCGACGTCACTGGAACACTGATATCTCGTAAATAATTGTTACATAATACTATAAGACATTTGCTTTAGATAAACAAAAAATGATCATAAACTATTTAGGTGATGATAAGACTTCGATAACCATTGTGCCAGCTTACCATTGCATAAGTTTAATTTGACATTTTATCTTTATTAAAAGATTACGATACATCTAGCAATATTAGGGTTAAATCGGTTGAAAGAAATTCTATTGATATACCATTTTTCTCTAGAATGATTCATTCACACACAAATTTTAAGCAGTTTTATTTCTTCATTCGAAGCATATTTCATATTAGACAATTGTATTACTGGGATCGAAATGAAAACACAAGAATTTCTTGCAAAATCTAATTAGAAAATGTAAGATTTCGAGTGTGGCAACCAACTGTCGAGTAACACAATAAAGAAAGAAAGATCACATGTTCATATTTATGAGAAAATCGACAGATGCAACCTTCATCTTACAGAATTGATCGATTACAGCTCTGCCATTGAATATTTTTCTATGTTCATATTTTCGAATAGATTTTCTATTTCCCGGAGCAAAATCACTCTGATCTATATGCTATATAAACATTGTCAATCTTCTTCTACGCTTAGATCAAACTTTATTAGACTACAAAAAGCTAAAAAGATATTCGGAGTGTAAAATCTCTAACTGCAAATACACAATTAGTAACAAAAAGACAAGCAATCGTGTTTTTTTCTTCCTGTTTTTTTGTTGCATAATAATAATATGAATAGCAATAGAATATATATATGAATATGAAGAAAGCAAAGACAAAAAGAAAACGGTCATCGACCATGTGGCAAAATCATGAAAAATCACAGTAGGTGAAATTGAGACTCTAGTTGAAAACATACAAATGGGTAAAAGGATATTTTTTTTAAAGTTTAACATTCGCAATACAAACAACGACAACACACATAGAATTATTTTTTTCTAACATTGTGCTACAAAGAAAAAAAACAATTATTAAGACACAATGACCGGTGAAAATTATAGTTGATTAAAAGGAAGATATCTATTGCACGAAAAAATTGAAAATAATTTAATATTAATCATATATATGTTTTTCTTTTGATTAGTATTGATTTGCTCATCAGATCAACATAAGAGTTTTCTTTTAAAACCTATATGTGAAAGTGAAAGGAATGTGCGCGTTATTTTGGGCTATAAATGCAAGTAAATAAACCACTGTTTTTTAATAGATACATAAAGAAGATTAAAACGAAACAAGTTGACTAAAATTCATCTTCCAGTAATTCAACAAGACGATTAGCGACAGCGTCTTTGCTTGCTCGAACCGTCAGACGATACATCTAGTTTTTTTTTTAAACAAAAAGATGTTATAGACAGATGATTGGCAAGAAAAATATCGACTTACTTTAGCTTGTTTATTTGGTTCAAGTCGATAGAGACAACCTATTTGTTGCGAAGCCGTATGCAATATACCAGCGCCACAGAAATTATCTGCATTAACATCAACGCCAGTTAAATTGCTCCAACCAAAACCTTCCAACTAGATTGAAAAGAAAAAACGATCTCCTAGATATCGAATAGATAAATTATGAGCATACTTTTTGACGACAATCATCATGCAGCATTGGATATTTTGCAGGAAAAATTTTTTGGCATTCTTGACCAGGTCTAAACAGAAGAAAATATTCTTTTAATTTAGATCTTTTACCGGAAGAGTCAAACCATAAGATTAAGTATTGAAGAAACAGAGAGACCGTTTTGAAGAACAACAATTTAGCCTGTTAGCTGTTCATCCGGGTATAGAAAAAATCATCGATAGAGAATCCTATTATTCTTTTTCGAAGAATGATTTAATACTTTCGGTACGAGGTTGTTTCACTCGATTATTCAATGGACAAATAAAATAATAATCTGATTCGAATATTTTTGTCAAATTCATTATATTATGATGAAAAACAAAGCTTCATTGTGATTTTTTTTCTATTTGCTTTCGCGAAAAACTATAAATTATCAGAGCATTCGGAAATAGGAGGACCGGATATTTATTTTTCACGTAAAAAGCGTACGTACTTATCAAGGTTACGCCAACGTAAGAAGAAACTATTTGAATCCATCTCTGCTTGCTCGATAAATTTGTTAACATATAATGGAAATGGAAAGTCAACTTTTTGCAGTACATTACCGTAACTAAAAGAAAATTTAATGTCATCCATAGAAAAATTCAAACAAACTTACTAAAATGTAAGATTTATTATCGGTAATTCTTCAAATTCTTTTAAACATTCAATGGTTCCTGATTGTTTAATTTGCGCTTTTGGGTCGATACCTGTTTTAATGGGTTGTATGTTAAATCGAATATCTATTTGACAAATACAAAAAAAAGATTTTATTATATTTTTGAAAACGAAAAAGTTTCATTACCGGATTCTAAATCTCCTGTTACTTTAATAGTATTTCCAATATTTGTTAAATTCGAATTCGTTTTATTTCCATAGTAAAATTCTACACGTAAAATATGTTTCGCTGCTTCAACTTTGATGCCAATCTGTAAAAGGTCATTTTCAAAAATAATATCACTATTTTTGAACAGCAATTTCTTTGCTGATTGCAATGTTGATGATGTTGGTGCTGGCGATGATTTTGATGGGAGTGAATAAGATGTTGTATCATTAAAAGAATTATTAGATTCAAGCGTATCAAATGAAAGAAGAAGTCCACTTTGTTGCTGTTCAGGTTGATTAAGATGAACCTAAAGCCAAGAAAATAAATAATATGGCGAAAAAATAAATAGCTTTTGACATTATTTACAGTTGCTTCAGCAAGTTTAGGAGCATCGTCTGGATTTGCCATCGTTGCTGCAGATGGTTCACTACTTGTTTCAGCTTCCATCAGTGGTTTCTTTTGTTTAAGACGAACCAATAATGGTGATTGTTTTTCCGGATAAGGTGGCATTATTTCCAATACAGTAGCTAATACTGTTGCACTACATATTTCACTTAATCGAAGATATTCCGTTGCTCGTTGTTGAATTTCAACATCAGAACTTCGATAGTTAGAATCATGACGAAGAATCTAAATGAATCGAAAACTAGATGCAATGTTCAACGAAGAGGTAGCATTTTATCAGACTAATTTTTTCCTTTTAATTTATTTATACTGATTCAGTCATTCAGGAATGTCTCGATGTCATTCGAAACAAATTTTAAATCGATATGTAAATGAGTATAGAAAACAAAAAATTCTGATTTATGTTAATATGAAACATTATTTGAGTACCAACAGCTGCTGCATCATTAATTATCTGTCCTACTTCTCGTTGTATCGCTATTGACTTACTCTACACCCACTCGGTCAACAATATTCAACAAGATTGGCTGTTCATAGACCTTCTTTTTTTTGAAAATTTCTGTCATTTTATTACAAATGAAAAACTATTACACTTGTCACTTACATCTTGAACATATTGTTTTATTTCAGGAAATAAATTAATAAATTTCATATAAGTCGATAAAAGCAATGAGCGCGTTGTTGTTGAACATAGATGATATTTCGAATGAATTAAATCGAATTGAATCATAGGTCTATTCAATAAAAATAGAAAAATAAAAATCTCGACTTCAAATTAGCTTACGTTGATCGTGGATCAAGTGCAATTAAATTTCCATATTCGCCAAGAATATATCCAGCTACTTTAATCATATTTTCATGACAAGCCGGTGCTTGTAATGCTTCGAATGCGATTTTAGCTGCATAACTTTGCACATCAGTTCGATTAACAACAACTTGTATAACACGATACCAAACCTAATAGAAATTTATTTTATAATACGAAAACAAAAAAAAAAGAAGAAACTTTTACTTCTTCAGAAACAAAATCACCAGCAAGTCGAATTAATTTAAGCATTATGTCTAGATACCATTTATAATCAATGGCATATTTTTCACTTAAAATAGCAATTTTCAAAACCTAAAGAGAAGAAAAGGTTCTTTTAAATGAAAAAAAGCCAAAAGAATTTTACCATTTCTTCTCGAATTGTATAATCAGCTGTTTCAAGATATGTTAACATTTCTTGTACAATATCTTCTGCATTGGATCGATCACACATTGCATATAGAAGATCAACAGCACGCTGACGAACGCTAACATCGCGTTCACTCTAAATTAATATTGTAAGAAATATAAAAATCAGCAGTTAGAAGTTCGTCGTCTTCTTCCAGCAGCACATGCAGTGCCATAGAAACATGACAGAAGTCTTAGCAATGCTTCTATTATTCTCAAATAAACCTTGATATCAGCTTTGTCTGCTGTAGCAGATTCTATCTTAGGAATGCGTCGTTATAGTACACGTAGTCATTAATTAATTATTACACCTCTGGAGAATAAAATAAAACGCCATAGCAAAACTATTTTCTATAACAACAAAATAGATAGAATGCAACGATCTCCCCGGTAATTAGAAATCGTAATTACATCCTCTGTTACATTTTTTTAATCTTATAGGAATTGCACAAGCACTTTTTACTAATGTTGATTAGAGATTGATCAAAACCTACAAATTGTGTGGCTTTTCAATTCTTTCTCTATGGCAGTCATGAATAAAAGAAACTTCATTCATTCATTCAAAGGTATGCTTTTCTTTTTGATCAGTTGTTTATGTTAGAATTTATTTTTATATGAGATGAAATTAAAGATCTACACTGAATACAATAACATTCTTTCGAGGCTCGTCTCTTTGCAAGCGAACTATCATATTTTTATTGTTTCCTCAAATATAGTTTCGATCCTAACCCAACAACAAGAAGAAAAAAGTCTATCTGATTGCATATACATTATGTAAATATTTATTATCCATTCAGTTTTATGACTGTTAGCTAACATATTGATAGTTTTATGGGATGAAAAGGAACTTTTATTTTTAGTGTGATATTTGCTAGTTTTATAATCGATGAGAGAATAGTAAAAATAAAATTATTCTTACCTTTAACGCATTAATGACTGTTTCTTGATGTTTTTTAACGGCATCATGTGAAAATTCCGATGTTGCCAATAGACACATACTTTCCAATGCAAGATATCGAAGATTTGTTTCTCGATTGAGTAAAAACTGACCAAGTTGATTACATGCACGTACAAGTAATGTTGATTCACAATCCATATGAATAATAAGATTAATAGCTTCAAACAGAACAGCATTGCGTGCATTTGAATGTTGAACTTTTTTCGATTTCAATGGTTCTTGAGCTTTATTAAGAATTGTATCAAGACATTCATTCAAACGACTTCGAACAGATGCATCATCTAATATCAACAATAAATATTTTCCTTTGAATTAAATAGAAAATTACCCGGTGGTGGATAATTTTGTAGTAACCGTAATAGCTTAACACAAAGCCACGGTGCTGGAACAAAATAATAGGTATAATCTTGAAAGTCCGTATAAGATGAAGTAACGATCTAAATAATATTTCTCTATGATTTAAAAAATCAATTTCGATTTTTACTGATCATACTCTGCTTAAACGTGAAACAGCTAAATTAACACAACCTTTGTATTCATCTGGATTACGTTTCACAAGTGCATCGATTAAACTGACAGCAGCTGTTGCTACGCCCTGAAAAGAATTTGTTTAAAATTCATTTATAATGCAGAAAATTTTGTTACTAAATGTTGGTCATTAAGAAGATGAATGATTCTTGCAGTCCATTCTGTATTTAATTGCAACGATTCTGGACTTGTTCGATGAAGTCTTAACAAGCAAAGAGCAGCCGATTGTTTAACAGGATCAATCGTATCTCTTAAAAAGAAAAACGAAAAGTCGTCCATCAAAAATTATTGAACGACAAGTCCTTGACATTAACTAACCCTGAGATGAGCAAACGAGGTATTTCTTGAGTAAATGCAGTAGCCATTTCTTTATCACCAATATTAGCTACACATTGAAGCGCTAAATTGATAAATATTGGATTTCGACTTTGTATATCATTACGAATATTTTGAATAATTAATTGTTTCATTTCCGAACTTGAATTCATAATAACAGAAATAAACAAATAACCCTGGAAAAAAGAACAAAATACAAATAGTATTAAATTTCTTTTTTGATACGAACTATTTGTTTTTCTGTATATTTATTTGAACTTAACAAATTAACAGCTTCCATGTATCCAAAGTCGATATCATGACCAAGTAAAAAAATAAACAGTAATTTGCATACATATTTTTTCTTTTGATATCCATCAAGAGTTTTATCAGCTAAATATAGAAATTGATTAGAAACAGATTTTTCTATGTTAGACAAAAGTTCCACCTCGAAATCGTTGTCGAATATTAGTTAATTCTTTATTGATACGTCGTAATTCAGCTTCACGACTTTTGCCTATTAAAAATGTAAATTTACTTGATTAGAAAAGAAAATTTAGCTTTTTTTTTCCAAGAAAATCATTACAATTTCGAATGTCCGAAATGAAAACAGCCAAACCACGCATAGCATCTCCACGCATGTTTCGCATTTTATCGACAGTAAAATAAACAATAACGAGACACCCTAACTCGACCGATTAATATTTGTTTTGATTTGATTGGTTACGGATACTAGCGACATCAATTGTTTTCGAATGGTTAATCAGTCCTTTACCAATCTTCATTCTTCATTACTTTGTTGAAAAAAATCATTCCATTTGTTATTGCTTAAGTTTCGTAAAACGTAAGAAAAAATTAAGAAATCATGTCAAGCAGTCTTATATCAAAACCCAAACAAGAAATGACTCCCGAAGAACTCAAACAACGGGAAGAAGAAGAATTTCGTACTGGCCCATTGTCACTATTAACCGATGCCGTAAAAAATAATACTCAAGTATTAATTGCCTGTCGAAATAATAGAAAATTATTGGCACGTGTTAAAGCATTTGATCGACATTGTAATATGGTTTTAGAGAATGCTACTGAATTATGGCAAGAAACACCCAAATCGAGTAAAGCTAAAGCTGCTGCAGTAGCAGCTACTGGCGAAGAGGGTAAAACAAGTGGATCAAAGCCCGTTAACAAAGAACGTTACATATCAAAAATGTTTTTACGTGGTGATAGTGTTATATTGATTCTTAAAAATCCCAAGGCAAAAGCGGCTGATTCGACCAAATAGATCAATTGAATGGATTAAAAATCCAAATGAACAAAAAAAAGCGTGTTATTATTTCTGTTGTTGTAACTCGTTTGTTTTTTTCTTCGTTGTCATATATTCAAAACATATTAAAAAAAAAAGAAAGCCGTGAGTTTTACTGTATTCTTTGGTTATTATAATACTAAGAAAAAAACATCTTCGTACAATCTGCCGTGAACAATGAAATACGTGCGCTGTGATGCGTAAAGTACGGAACGTTTTTCGCGAACAGTTTTATTATTATTAGATTTAGAATAGATGAAATATAAGGCGAAGAAGATTGATGTTACTCATAAAATATAGCTTTGAGTCATGTTATTATTTTGTAATTTAGTTCTGAGAACCTGGCTACTTCTAGTCATCAATCATGGGAAAAGAAAACAATTAAGGGAAGTCGGAAAAGAAAAGAAATATATTTTTTCTTACAAAAGGATAAATGGCCATTTCCGATAATTTTCGAACGTGCTCGATAGCTGAACAAAAAAAAGTGATTGTTTAAGTCAAAAATTATCTGTGCCAGTTTTTCAAGTCGAAATTTGAATTACATACTAAACGCTGTTCTTTTCTACGTCGATTGTTAAAACATCTTCGGATTTGTGAAAGGAAAGAAATGTGCCCTCAAGTCTAGAAAGATTTGTTTATAGAGCAAACACCGTCATGTATGCCTCGAAGCTATGTTTTTTAACAATCACGGATGTAATGTTTTTGTCATAAGCACACTTTTGAATTTCAACATGAATTCTTCTCATGAATAAATATATTCCTATTTAGAAAGATCTTGTTATATGTGAAGCGTGAGAATAAGCATTGCATGAACTCAGTTTTATATTGATGGGAATACTTTCTTTCTCGATTTGAGCACAATAAATTAATTCACAAGGATTTTAATGTAAAGAATATCTCGTTGGAATGAGTTACTACTCAAATTGTCCTTTATTGATATGCCTTAGTAGTTCGTTAGTCTTGAAGTTCATTTAACTCACATGGATGCAAACTGGTTCAACAAAAAAGATGCCACTCGACTTTCTACGATACTCTTCTTTTCTTAATGAAAATCTGTCAAAAATAATCATAGTTTTTATTTTAATGCAGTGGTTATTCTCGTATGCAGTATTAATACCAATAGACGTATTTTAAACAAAACGTCGACCCAAACTATTATGCAATTATCATAACAGTCATCAATTCAAAAACAAGGCTAAAGTTTAAAAATATCCATTGAATTCCCTATCATATATATCTATATCTCTTAGATTTGGTAAGTAGATGCAAAATAGCTAAAGTAAAAGATCTACTTTATTTGCTTGAATCTATAATTAGGAGATAAACCATTTTGCCTGTCTGTTATGGGAAGGGGAGCTACAAAAATTTCACTATTAAACTTACATTCATCGTTTTCATCGAAAATATATCTGAATTTCAGAAATGAAATTATTGAGCATCTGATAGGAAGAAGCAAAAAAGAATGAAGAGTCTGCAGTAATAAATAGTAGCCGGGTATTTGAATGTACTCGACAGACAAGTTATCATCAGAGAGTATCATATTAATTTTCTGGATTAGTAAAATTTCAACCGGACAAATTTCCCATATAATATTTTACATTTGCAGTCTATCAGAATTGAACAACGAAGAATGATTTGATATCTTAGTTACGATTCATATTTCATTGTTGAAAATGAATATTAGATATTTTCGTTCTAGTCTTTCTGCGATGATCTTATTATTCATTTTACTCATTCTTGTGTTTTTTCATCTCACCAATTACAGATCTGAGCTTGTATTTATGAGTCACCGGATGCGTGCCTTAATTTCAACGAGTTTGGGTTCACATACGTAAACAATTATTGTAAATTTGAAACGGAACCATTTCAAACTATTGATGGAGAAAGCTCAATGAAATGCGTAACAGATGTGACACCGAAAAATGATTGTCAGAAGAACGCTACATGTCGAATTCTAAAGTTTCAAGATAATTACGTATTCGAAGAGTTTTTCACGAAGCACCGTCTTCTTTACAAAAATTGATTTCCAAAACCCATTAGTGGATCTGATATTAAAAGCAATGTATTTATTAGTGAATATGTTACAACGACGATTAATAATGAATATACTAATTCAAAATTGAATATAGACTTTCCTGAATTGGATTTGAGGATTTATTATTTTAGTACTCAACCAAAGAAAACAATGCTTGAAGTTGAAAATACTCTATTTTCGATAGGATTTCGTCGTCTTACGATAACCGTAAATTGTACTATGAATACTGAACTAGTAAATTATGTAATACGTGGACTTTCAGTAAATCCTAGACCATCCAGAAAAAGTGACTGCCAAGATGTTCAGCCTAAACAAACAGTGAATAGCATTGTCCGCTTCTCTCTCCAGCGTCTATTAATTTATAAGAAAGAAATCCTTCCATACGTACGTATATCTTTTCAATTTGAAAAGATTTACTCTATCTCGACATTAGTCTGAGTTGAAACGCCAGCAAAAGTAAAAATATTGTTTACTAATATTGTGACTTGTTAGATAAGAATTAAAACAACTCACACAGCTACAACAACATCTTCAACATCATCAATTTCAACGACAACAACCACGCAAAAATCCACGTCCACTGAAACGACTCCCTTGTACTTAATAATAGCAACAACTACACCCTTGACAACAACAACAACATCGGCAAGACAAAAAACAACAATAACATCGACCAGATCAACAACTACAAAATCTACATCAAAGACAACGAAATCTACGATAAAATCATCTAGAACCAGACGAACAACATTGGCATCAACGAAAATTTCCCATTCAACCAATAAAACAATATTCGTGCCATCTACATCATTCACAACATCAACTATCAGTACGACGCCAACTGCTAAACCAACACCGAAATCAGAAACCAGTACAACTACCACTTTATTTTTAACCACAATAGCAATACCAGTATTAACAACAACACCGAGCATAGTTATCAAATCTATTGATAATATAACAGAAAAATGTCACTCATTTACATCCTCATTTTCAATACTTGTTACTAATTCAACTTATCCAATATCTGAAGCGAATACATCTCATGAAATTATGGCAGGAACACGTTCGACATCGATGGAACAAATGCTCGTTCGTTTGTCATAACAAACTGGGAACAGATGGCAACTAGCGAGAATCCATTTAAACAAGCAATTTTCACAACTATAATCACAACAGAATCGATACCATTTACTAAGACAACAAAAACCATAGCAACAACTAACTTGAATTCAAACATATTGCTTATTACAATTGAAAATTCATTAGGCTCTTCTTCTACATCAACTAAAATATCATACAAATATCAATATGCTCTTCTCTATATCCTATCATGCTTACTATTCGCAATAGTATTTATGACAATTTTCTCTGTGACGTTTTGTGTTATTTATTACAATCGCAAACGTCGCCAATCATCACATGAATATTCAATTAATGTTCTAGATGCGGTGAATACTAATACAAATAGAAGTCTTAATAATGATAGAATTCAATCGAAAAATTCATTGGATACACCAAACACGACACTCTCATCCATTGTTATCAAAGAATTACAGCGTGACTGATAATGTATTGGAAAAATCGAGTAAATATAATGGACCTACATTTGATGATGCTGAGCTTTAATCAAGAAAATTTCTTTTGAAAAATAATTTTCAGACAACACGATAAAACAAAAGCTCTTATATTCAAAATCAAAAATATCGCTATGAATTAGTTAGTAACAGCATCGATGTAAACATTTCATTTGTTCGAAAATAGTTTATAAAGCGTTAGACAAATAAATTACTCTAGCAGTGAATCATTTAAACAACATTAATCATCATAGAATAGAATATTGGGCAATTAATGCATCTAGAAGTATCAGAAAGGATGGTGTGAAGAACTTTTTTCGTTTTTTACTCGTCAAACGCTTAACATTTAATGTACAAAGGAAACATTTATGGTACATTATTCTTTAAACTGATTACAGTCAAATGAATAAGCAAAATTAATTTCATTCTTTTTCATTGTTGAAAGACTTTTTATAATAGAACATAAATATTCTAACATTGTTTTAAATCAATTCTAAATTGATTTAATTGTCGATTATAATTATAATCCAAATTTTTTTCGAATGCAGTTATCGATCCACCTAATCTACGCATTTTATCAAGTGAACTTGGAATCGATTCTTCTAATGCACTGTCACGTAATGGATGTTGCGTGTGCGGCTTGACTAAAGCTGTTTTTAAATCAGTATGCTGTTTTTCTCGCGCACGATCATTTTTGGTTTTTAACATATGTACTGTTGCACGACTTGAATTTGTACTTCTCAATGATGATATTTTTCCTGAACACGACGAATTTGTTTTTGATTTTTCCTGAAGACCATTTATGACATGTGTTTCAGTAGATGCTGGTGTTGTAGGATACGATAATGGCTGTATTTGATAAGCACGGCGCGGGGTATTGCCAGTGATAGGAGCAGCTCGTTTTAATGAAGACATTGATTGTAAACTTGGACTCTGATAATCACTCGAAGTTGCAAGAGCTTGTTGACGAGTTTTGGTTGATTGCCGAAGTTGAACACTTAGAGAAGCTTGAGGTTTCGGACCAAAATCAAAATCAATTAAATGCTTCATTGATTTACCACTATTCGTCTGAAAAGAAAATTTTCATTTGTTAAGTATAAAATACGTAGAAATATTTATGAAATAGATTTAAATCAATACGGTCAACTTCTATACCTTAGGCTCCAATGAAGAATGTTTTGTTGAATATGTTTGATGTGATAGTGATTGTGATTGTTCAGCATAATTAGAATGCATCATGGGTGGTTCTCTTGTCATATGAAAAAAATCTGCTGATCTTTGATATTCATCTGTTGGTGATGTTGTTCGTTGAAGATTGTCTCCGTCGATATATTTTGATTCTTTAGATGAAGATCTTTCTGTATAGGATACTAACGTTGGAAGATTAGCTATTCTTTGTATGCTATGAAGTTCGTTAAGTAATAGTTTATCTTCTAATTGAACAGTTTTCAGGTGCACCGGACTAATTAAACTTCGCTTTCTTAGTATATCTTTATGGGCTCGTTTCGGATTCGTCACCACATAATCAGGCCAATCAGCATACATCGGTGAATAAGTTACTATACGATTCCATTGGCCTTCAACAAATGGACTCAATGGTACAGTTGATATTAGATCATAATGGTGATTTGGATATTTCAGCATATTCGGTTAAATAATGATCGTCTATTTTACAATAAAGTTGTTGTGACTTCTGTAAAAATTAATACTTCATTTTTTTGCTTCTAATGCTATACGATGTGGATAAAAAGAAAGAAAAATTTCTTTGACGGTTTTGTCTTCTCTCTATTTTCTCAACATGCATCTTGATGGTACTTGTTAAAAAACAAACGAACAATCGATAGAATAACAAACAATGTATATACATGTGAAACAAAAAATAGCGTATAAAGAGTAAGAAAAAAAAATATATAGATTTCTTTCTGCTTTGTTTTTGGTAATATTATTAGCTTGAATGGATGCTACGATAGATTGATTATGACTGGATGTTTTTTATTATTGAAATAGCTGAAATTCAAGTTTGATAGTTTCAATAAGTTTGGTCGTTTGTTTATTCATCTATTGACATATTTGCTTGTTCCGTACATTAAAAAAAAAAGAGAAAAAGATCGAAATTCGAAGCAAGAGAACAAGAGTATGCGTATGAAAATACATAGATTGTTGTAGACTGATGATTTACAAAGAAGTACAAGTAATCACCGAATAGAAATAATCATGTTTTCGTCTCTTTAACAATCGTTTTTATTCTATTTCGAATATACTTTGTACAACGAAACAAAAAGGATATGCGTAATCAAAATTTCATTCAGCCATCTACTACTATTTAAATAAATGTTCTGATGCCGTACGATGCAACCACTCGAGCTAGACGTACAAGGATTTCTAGCTTGTAGTAAAGAAAGTTTATGAGGACGTGTCCCTCGAACTCATACAAAATGTAAAAAAATGAAAATCGAATAGATTGAAGACATCGTTTTTTATATTAAAATATTTCCACTTTACGTTTACTATTTGCTATTCTATTAGTCACTTCATTCATTACAGCCAAGTCTGGATAGCCATGACATGATTGTTTTATTAAATTTGACTTATATTTCGATCAAGTGATCTATAAAAATATCCTATCCAAGAGTTTTCTGCAATTCGAATACTGCGCTTGCAAAGTATTTACATTTATAAAAGCTAATTGAAGATCTCAAAATGGCGCTTTCTTTTCGTCTACAGTTTCTAGAATATTATAACAGCTATATTTGAATAATGTCTATAAAAAAATTCTCTTTTTCTTAATACTCACAAAATATCTAAAGATATATCAAAAAGTTGATCAGACAATCTCAAAAATGCCGTTAAATACGAATTCTTACAAGACCAATTGCAGCAGCGGGACTATTTTGAAAAGACTTTTTTCATCGCTGAGAAACCTACAATACGCGAGCAATTATTGATTTTAATATTTCGATTCGCCAGAATGCATTTTTTCATGGTTCACATAAACTTAAAAGTGTCTTTTTCTAGCCTTGGTTTTAATATCATCAAAGCAGCGATGAATATTTCGAATATTGAATTTTATCAAAATCTCTTTTTTAATGTTCAGGCTTAAGATGTTGTATTTTTCTTGTCTTTCTGATGAAATACATATCACGAAAAACAAGTACATGCCACACATAGAACTACAAAAAAACATATTACAATTGAAACACACCGCAAGAAAACAAACAATAGTTATGTAAATAAAACAGATCACTGTCAGAGATTATTGTTTTTACTAGATGTATCATTTTATGATTGATGCGCTGAATTGCTTCGGCTACCTATTTTGAGATGAAATGGCGCCGATTGTTGCTGTTGCACAGCCGATCTCGAATTTCGTAGATCGCCGTCATTTGTATTAGATTCGGTTCGTTGTGTTGGTATATCATTAATATTTGTTACTGATGTTGCCATTGACTTACGTAATTCTCTTGTTTTATATTTATAGAAGTATAAATCTTTTTCAAGTTGTTTTATTTGATTTGATGATTCTTGTAATTGACCAAATAGTAGTTGCTTTTCGTCTTCATGAATTTGCTGAATAGATGTTAAACGTCGATCATGATCAAGTGATAAAGATTGAACACGCGATTGTAATTCGTTGATTGTTTCAGTTTGTTCAAGAAGTTGACACTAAATATACGAAAATGCACAATAAGCTTACAAAAAAAAGTAAAGCGCTTCTTACTTTAATTTCTTCATAATCACGGCGATTTTTATTATCTTCTTCTTTGAGATTAATTACTTTCTCGAATAATGTACGGCAGAGTTCTTTTGATTCGTGTTCATTCAATTGGTTGATTTTAAATAATGGAGAATCGAAACCCTAAAAGAAAAGTGAAAATTTTCATAGTATTCAAGCATTATGCAAATGAAACACATAGAATGATTTTGATTTTGGTTCTGACTCCAGTAAATTAGCGCTAGCACGAAATGAAACATATATGACCGTACATGTTTTTGTGTACTCAGAAAGGTGAGTACACTCTAGATTCGGTCAGTGTGTCCGGCCGTTAACATGATAACCTTTGAAAGCTTCATCCAATTGTCATGAGATTTTGTACACATAATGATCTCATTAATATCTCAGTCGAGTTCGAAGATGAGAAGGATCCGTCAAGAAATGGCTGAGTTATCGAAAAAATTGTCAGTATTGACCAGACCATCCCTGAGAAGAGGGAGGGGTACAGGGATTTTTTCTTAGAATTATTCACAACATATATAAATCTACTCAGTTTTTGCTGTACACATAACAATCGGATGCGAATCCGATGTTTCCTCATTTATTTCTACTACGATCGCTTAGGTGTCGATCGTCTCACACTTTATGCCCACTTCGAATCATATGAAGCCTCTTTGGATTCGGAAGATGAAAATTGAGTTTCTTAAAAATCGTCTTGATTCATTTCTCCAAATAACTGTTTGCATTATCTAGTCAGTGTTTCTTCTACGTTTACACGAATTATGCATGAACATCGATTAGTTCACAGTACTTACTGGTGATGTTTCAATAAGCTAAAATATTATTCAAGGTAACTGGATTGTTTATGGTCTAGTTTAAACTTTAATAATGTAATCACTTGACAACTGTATGATAACATCAATGCGGTATTGCGATCTGCATAATCTATTCTCATGTTTGACTCAATACCTGTTCGACTGAATTAGTTCTATTGTGCACAAGGCTAAAAATGTACTCCTCCGCTAGTTAATCAAATCTATTCCATTTTTTAAAATGATATTGCATCAGTATATATCAAATTTTCAGTTTCCTTCAAAACAGTAATCATGCGCTTCTATTCAATTAGCATTATAGGATTTATTGTATGTCTGAAGAATCGGTATTAGATTCATACCTGACTAGCTTGCATCGATTGTTGAACATCACGTTCTCGCTTTGAAATCATATTATTTTGATAATCAATTGCTAAGTCGATTGCTTCAATGGCTTCGTCCATTTCAATCAAACGTCGTTCGTCCGTCGCTGAGAATATGCCATTTTGTTCGTCTAATCGTTCAGTAAATAAACGTTTTTGTTTTACTAATTGTTCACGTATCAGCTGATGATTCGATGTTTGTTTATCATTGTTTTTCAAACTCTATATAAATAAAATGCATTATGAAATTGCTTTTTTAAAAATTATATAAACCTTATTGACAACTTGACTTGAACGTAATATTTTAGCTTCAAGTTCTGTTTTTTCACTAAGTAATGATTCTTTCTTTTGAATCAGTTCTTCGCGTTTTTTAATATCATCTCTTAATGCTTCCAAGTCTTTTCGTTCAGCGATTAATTTTTCCATTTCAATTTCCAAATTAGTTGTTGTTCCATCAATAATATTTCCGTTCGATGCGCCACGTAGTTTTCGTTGTGCTGCAGCAAGGCCTTCAGTTTTTAACTTTAAAACTTTGTGTTGTTGTTCATTTTGAATTGTCAATTCTTGTATACGTTGTTGTTCACGTAAGAGTTCTTGCTCGACTTTATTTTTTAGTTCAGTTTCTTCACGTATACGTTTTTGTGCTGTATCATATTGTTGTTTCATACGAAAGAGAGCTGATTGAAGATCCACAATTCTAAAATCAAGATATGTTAGAACTGTTTTATCATTTTAATGGTAAACCGGTAGCAATAGGTTAAAGAAAATGTTTTAGCAGAACCTAGAAAAGTATCGTTATAAAGATTCTACGGAAAATGATTCTAATATACAAGTACTTCGAAATCCATAGATCGAGTTGAGATGTGTTTTTGGTCTCTGGTAGATTTGTAAGAATATCATTAATACAGTTTCTTGATTGGCATTTGTTGTAACTCCTCATGTGTATGCAAATAGGAGACTCAACATAGTTTCAATAGGTCATTTCTTGTGACTCGATCTTTGCCAAATAATGGAAGGATATTATACTTTCAATCATGATTTCTAATAACACTCTGAGTATGTAAAGGTGTTTTCTTTTTCAATTTTATGATTTCTGAAAGTAATTACACGATAAAAACGGTCAGTGTTCTCTGAAGAATGATTTAGAGAACTAGAATTTTGAATTTTGGCAAAGCTCAAGGATTGACCCTAGTCGTCAACTAAATAAATCTAAAAAAATTGGGCGATTCTGAGATAGTTTTCTCTACACTAAGCCCTTATCCTAAGATCTTGGATTTCAAAGAAATCAACCTGAGATGAGACCGAAATAAAAATGTTCATACGATGTGTACTGTAATTATGACGTGAAGATTATTTTTATATCTCAACGAATTTACCTTTTTTCAGTGTTTCCGGTTAATTTAATCATGAGTTCTCGATATTGTTTTTCTTTTTGTTGAAGTGAATCAAGATGCGCTTTGGCCATTTCGCATTTTTTTCGATATTCACTAAATAGAAAATTGAAACCTATGAGATAAAATGCTTGCCGCGGTAATATTATATTCTATACGCATCAAATTTTGATTTTTCATTGACATTTTTTGTTGCTATTTGTTGCACAGCTTTTTGCAAGTCATGATATTCACGTTTAGCTTTTTCCATTTCCTAAAAGAAAAATTTTCTAACGAAAAAATTTCATACGTTCAAAATATTTACTTTTTCAAGCATTTTAACATGTTTATGATATTGTTCATTAGTTTCTTTAAAATCTTTTGTTGATGCATAAACACTTTTAATTAATTGTTCTTTAAGTCTAATTATAGATTTGAAGTAGAAAATGACAATAAAATAGCACCAAATTGCTTACTGAATATTTTTACTAAGATCTTGTGCTTTACTTTCTGCTTCTTTTACTTTGCGTGTTGCTTCTTCAATTAATTTCTGTTTATCCATGGTTGATTGAGTTAATGCTTGTAAGGTTTCATCTTGTGGTAGAATACTTGGTATTGCACGACTTTTACGAACACGATATGTACCATGTCGAACGAGGTTTCTAAAGACGAAAAATAGCATAACTTTAGAGTTTGTTCAATAGGATAAGCCGTTCTTCCTATTCGGCTTTGTTTTACTTGATTTCTAAACGGAACACGGATAGATCTCGAATGGCAAAGCAGGCTGAGATTTAATATGTGCTGATACGAGGGTTAAATGAAGTGCCCCTGTTCGGTTTTTAGTTCTACTATGATACGAAAACTGTATGAAAAGTTGTCTGCACGTCATTATAGATGGAAACGACAGAATACGTATTTAAGCCCAAATTTGATTAAAATTTTTCTTTCTTGTTATGCGAATTTTCTATGAAAAACTTTTCAATAGAAACTAACTTTTCTTTTATTGATGAATCATCACTAGTTTTCAAGCTTAGCTCTTCAATTTCTTCTTGTGAATGTGCTAAAGCCAATGATCGTCCATGAAATCTGTCTACAACATATTCCATATCAAATGCAGCTGGGCTCGAATGAATATTTCGTGGTTGTACTGAATGGTCCTATAAAATATACCAACATTTAACATAAAAAACAAACGATTTTGTTCTAACACATGAATCAAATTATGCTTTCATTCAATAAGAAATAAATATTTACTTTTCGTTGAATACCACCAAAATGAGGCGCAGATTTGACTCGATCATATAAAGAAGCTTTTGCTGATTGACTTGTTTGATAAACATTTGTTGAGAAACGTTGATCCTAGAAGCCAATATCAAACGAAACTGAAAGATAAAACGAATGAACCAACCTGTGATTTTACAGCCATATCTTCTTGTTGCTGTCGATGATAATTCAATTCATCCAATCTGACACGTATTCGATTCAACTCATCTTCCTTAATGAGAAAATTAACGAAATGAGAAGTTCATTTTTCTTATTGAGAAAATTTTTACTTTCTCTTTAAGTTCTTCTTGTAATTTCTCAAGCATCATTTCTCGATTAACACGTATTTGTGCTTCTGTTTGCAATTCATCTTTAGCCTAAAACATTTAAAATTATCTCATTTGTATTCTCGCTCTATTTTGCCATACCGAATGAAGTGCATGTTCTAAATTTGTTAATCGAAATGTATAGATGTCGTTATAAAGATCTTCTGGATTTTCCTATGAAAATATGATAAACAAAATATAATTTTACTTTGTTTTCTTTTTCTAATTGTGTCTTACATTAGTAACTGCTTCCATCCATGTTTGTATCCATTGCTTTTGTTCATCATTTAATTCATTACACTCATTCAATTGTTGAAAACATGTATATGCAGTTTGAATTAAACGACGTGAATTATCTACAGTAGGTGTTATGCTAAAAAGAATGTTTTATTATGACAGTCAAAATAATGAATAGAAAAAATATTTACTTCGAACGACGAGTATTAACTGATTGCCCGTTTCGAGATAAGATAACTCTTTGTCGTTCCAATTCTTCACGTAGAAACTAGAAGACAATTGGTTTTTAGATATCATTTATCGAACACTGAATCGATAAGTCAAAAGCCAGATAATATCCTGAGTGAACTTACAGTGATTTCACTTTGCATCTCAATAAATCGTTGTGCATTAGGATCGACATTTTTGATAGGTTTATTGCGAATTTGACTTGCCTAAACATCAACAACAAAGACAGCAATGGCATTTCAGTGCCGGTCCTTTTTTAATCTTACTCGATGAGCATATTGAAGGGCGTTTAGAGATTCATCAAGATCAACAATGCAGGGACTAACACCTATGTATAAGAATAAAAGAAAAAAAAAATTTCTCTCGAAATATATTCTATTTTGAAATAGAAAATTTACAAGTAATCATGAGTGTTTTAGCATTTCCACCTAGTGAATCTTTCAGTAGACGAGTGATTTTTGAATCACGATAAGGGATATGACCCCCGGCACGTTTTTTCGGATCTGACAATGCACTGACAACATTGCCCAAAGCCAATAAACCAGAATTAATACGAATCGATTCTTGAAAACGTTCACCTGTATTATGTGTACGTGCTACACGTTCTGAACCAGCCAAATCAACAAAATGGAGTTTAGCAGAAAGGTAGCTTTCTAAACAAGAAAAGTTCCAGCTAAAACCCCGATAAAAATCTCACAGTAACATTACCTTCGAGTGTAGATTTTAATGGTTTTACAAGACCATCATAAGATGCCTGTACCACTGTTGAATTTGAATTTGGATCACGGAGACGTTGTTCTACGTAAATAAAATTTTCAATTCAGTCGTTCTACTGTATTGAACTACTACTACGCTACTAGCAATGGAAAGCAAGTTATTTTAAATATTTTTGTTGTATAAAAAACTCACGCAATATTAAAGCAATATCTTATTTCGTTTTCAATCGTCGTTCTCTGAAATATTGGTGCGTTTTTCATAGATATACATTCTTGAGTGTCTTCCTCACAATAAGATCAAGATAAACAAAAAATCAACTCTACTCGAATCAATAATTCTGGATACTGTTTTAATAGCGCTCGGGTTTTCATGCTATCAGTTACACGTAAGCGTCAGAATGCCAATGAAACGGCTATTGTTCGCTGCTTAAAAAGGAGAATATATCTTCGATGGTAGCATCAATCGCAAGTAGTTTCTAATATCTGTTGCATTTTTTATGACAGTAATTTTAAACCGGATTGATTACAAAAAATCATTATTTCAATTTTAGTTTTGATGCAATTTGATAGAAAAAACTCAAAAGTCAATACCATCGATTAAAATATCAACTTTCAAGAATACTACGCGAGTTTAAAAATATTCTTTTGAACTATTAACTGCTCAAAGTTGCATCCCATTAATCTTGTATCTCTAATTCGTTATGCATAAAGTAGTTGACTTCTGATATCGGTACTAATACATACCAATATATAGAGTAAAGATTGCATGTGATCTCGATGATTCATCATTCATTTGTGTTGCACCTGTATGACGAACAGCTGAACCTTTCTTTAATAAATTAACAACATCATCAATAGAATGGCATGTATGTTCACTGGCACCGATAACAACTAAAATATTGAATATAAAAAAATACAATAAAACATCAACAGTCTTAATTTTATACTCGTATTTCCAGCGGCATCATCTCGGACATCTAATACTTTGTCATTGACATCAAGTAAATCAATAATATCATCTTTATAGATTTCTAAATATGATGCTGAAATACTAACACGACAATCTCTTCGATTCTAAAGAGAAATTCAATTAATTTTCTTCAACATTAAAAAATAGTCTCTACAAACTTGTAACGTATCAAAAATCGTTTGTACAGAACGTGGTATAATTCCATAGTCTTTTTCTGGGATAGATAAAATATTTCCACCAGTCATAGTGAAAGTTTTCCCTGAACCCTATTTGTGGAAAATGAAATCAAATACTTTAATGAAAGAAAATTCAACTGATAGACGTACGGTTTGACCATAGGCAAATATTGTAACGTTGTAGCCATCGCAAACATTAGTAAGCATTGGTTCAACGCATGTTTGATATAATTCTTCCTAAAAATTAACAGATTGCATTTCATATACTTTAGATAAATAATTATTTTATTACTTGTTGTGTTTTAGGTCCAAAAACATAATCGTATTTGAAAGTTTTTCGATCACCGATAACAATTTGATTTGTTTGAGGATGAATTGCAATGCAACTTTTTTGTTCATGAGCTTTTTCTCGTTGTAAAAATGGTCGAACCTATGCAGTAACGTAAGAAAACGAAATAGATTGATTTTCCATATAGTATTATTTTCTACATACACGAATAGCTACTTTAACACGATAGTCTGACTCGTTGTTCACCATATTTTATTACTATCTAAAATGTGTTGTTATTCTTTTTAATTGAAAAAAAAAACAGAAAAGAAAAAAAGAAGATTTATTTATTGTCCACTCTCATATTTTTGTAATTTTTCTTTCAAGGATTCATTCTCTCGCACTAGTTCATCAGTTTTTTCGCGCATAGTCATCAGTTCACTTTTCAATGATTCGACTTCAGCTGTATCAGGACCAGCTGCTCCCATAAAACGACGTACGAATTCCGTTGCATTGTTTGGCTTTTCGGCTTCTTCATACAAAGCAACTAAAGCTCCTGAATAAAAAATAAAACAGAGGATATCCTATTTCATTCATATTTCGGAGGAATCAATAACAAACTTGTAATTGCATCGACAACACCACCCTTCTCAAGGTACCGACGAAATTCTTCACGCTTTGATTCGTTTGGACGATAATTCGATGTCATTATTTAATAACTCGTTAGTTACAAAATGAAAGCAGAAAAAAAATTGTTCGTTTGATGTATTGACATTGCTCCTGTTCGTTGCTGAGCAACGACTCCATTAATGACTCACTATCACACTAATGCACTTTGTGCATGGATTAACAAATAGCTATACAAGAAAAGAAAGAAAAAAACGATTATTATTTTTATAGGAAATAATTTCATAGAATTTATTCATGAGAAAAAAGGTTTGAGTTTTTCACAAATGAAAATATTCCATGGTTTACCAAACCTCCGATACTACTGGTCTTTATATCTTCATTCATTTTAGCTGAATATTTGATAAACTAAAGTTATGTTTTACGATATTTTCTAGATCGACTATCATCATGCGTCCAATCAAAGCACGTGAACAACTTGTTATACCTGATGAGGGTATTTGAATTAATCTATTTCGAATTTTGCTCTAAACTTGTTTTTTGTTTTTGTTTCACTGTAAATAGTTAAAGTTAGCGTTAAAAGCCGTGTTGTTCAGGTATCTGGTAAACGCGGCAAACTTGTACGAAGTTTCAAACACTCACGTGTTGATATTTCAATGCCAAAAAAGAATTTAATAGTTGTTGAAAAATGGTTCGGAACAAACAAAGAAAATGCGGTTGTTCGTACTATTTGTTCACATATTAACAATATGGTTAAGGGTGTTACAAAGGTAGGTCTTACAACTATTAGTTTTACATTCTTTATAAACATAGGGTAGTTCGTAATAATAGGAAAACTTTCCGATTGTTCGATGCTTTTGATGATGACAAGTAGACACAAGTCGATTGCAATGTGTATATTATCGTTATTTTGATTGAATAGTTGCTTTTCACTAAAAACATACGCATAGAGTTCTTAATACCTAAAAACCTAATCCTTGGCTAAGTCAACATTGTTTCGAATTGCGATTTCTCGTTTGAAATTGAATTCTGCGTTTATTTGAGACCTAGTAAAATATTACTCTTTGAATTTTGTTTTTGAAACGAACAAATTTACATATGCTAGGAAAACTAATGAGTATATCAATATCAAACTTACAACAGGAAAGTCTAGAAAAACATGACCGTCAGTGTAGAACACTAAAGAAACTAGCATCAGAGAAAAAAAATATTAAGTTTTTCGCATCTCTTATACAAAAGTAAATAAATTTGTTTTGCAAAACTAATTCATTATTACTATTAATAAAGGAATTGTAAGCACGTGTTTGAAAAAAATTTCTTTCTAGTTTAACCTATGACCAATTGCTAACTGTCAAAAGTAGTTCTATTCTTTTCAAAAATATAGCGCAATTTTTATTGAATCTAAAATAGGCTTCCATGTGTAAATAACTGCATCTCCATTGTAACTTTTATCCTAGTCGGAAGGAAAACAATATTCGATTGCAATCATCATCACATTCAATATTTTTACTTTTTAGGGTTATTGCTACAAAATGCGTTCCGTATATGCTCACTTTCCCATCAACACTGTTGTTACAGAAAATGGTCAAGCCGTTGAAATTCGTAACTTCTTAGGTGAAAAGTTCGTTCGTCGTGTTAGAATGCAACCAGGTGTAAAAATTACATCAAGTACAAAACAAAAAGATGAACTCATTTTGGAAGGCAATGATATCGAACTCGTATCACGATCAGGTATAAATTTAATTTCGTCATTTTATCAATTATTCTAATCTATTTATTTTAATAGCTGCACTTATACAAATGTCAACAGCAGTTAAAAATAAAGATATTCGTAAATTTCTTGATGGTATCTACGTCAGCGAAAAATTAAGCGCCGATGAAGCTTAAACAAAACGTGCATTTGTTTTAGTATCATTCAGAAAAAAAAATTGTTTTTTTATTCTACATGCGCGTTTAAAGAAATAAAATAAAAAGAACGGAAGAACTGAACGAACGACAAGAAGAATAAAAATTGCTTTTTTTTTCTTCTTCAGACAAAATTTATCATGAAAATAGAATAAGAAAAGATAAAACGATGAACGATCCTTCTCCTGATCTAATAAAAGATGCAGAAATTCATCAATCATTAAATCAAAATCAACTTTCAAACGATGAACTTTTTCGTCATGTTGATAAAAATAACGATGGGAAAATCGATGTTAACGAACTAATTCAATTATTAGAAAAAGGCCATGTTGAAACGTGTCCTAAAAAGCGTGTGGCTATCGCACGTGTAAGTTTTCTTGCATGCTGAAATCTAAAGACGTTTCGTATCGTATCATTTCCTAGCGTATTATTGATCAAGGTAGCGGATCATCGGATGCATCGTCTCTTACGTTTCAACAATTTGCTGATTATGTTTTAAAACAAGAAAAAAAACTTAGCTTAGTCTTTCGAAATGTAGATGCAGCGCATCAAGGTAAAGAGTAACATTGAAGAACAACATAATCGCTAGCTGGACCAATTGTTTGTATTTTAGGAAAATTTGATGCTGAAGATTTAGTTTTTTATTTTAAAAAACTGGGTATTACGGTGGAATTAGCTGAAGCAAAGAAATTAGTTGAAAAGTAAGCCAACATACATTTTCATCATGGTTAGATAGAACGCGAGAGAGTTACGCATGATAAGGATATTTCTACTGTATACAGTTGATAGATATTAAGTAAAGAGATTCATTAATTCTGAAGTCATGAAGTCTGCCGAAGGGATTGCTTGTTTGATTCCATATTAGTTTCAGATATAGATCTCAGCGAGACTAGTATTTGTTCTTGTCGGTAATCATTTGTTTTTATTTGACTTTACATATATCTGTTCCGATTTCTATACGAATGCTGATAACTAAATTTAGACCCTGAAACATTGTCATTTATAATTAGGAAGTAGTGATCGGTGGAGGCACAAACTGTTAAGATGAGAATCTGATTTCTATTCAACGTGTTATCAAAAATACAAATCTATTGACAAAAAATTTCAGCTGACAGAGCGTATAAATCTAATTTTCATTGAAAAAAAGCAACAATTAAATATTTAAATTAACTAGTTTTATCAACTCATGATGAAAGATGCTTGTTTGGAAATTGAACTTCGTGCTTCTTTTTATCTAGAATGGATCAAGATAATTCTTTACAAATATCTTTTGATGAGTGGCGTTCGTTTTTCATGGCTAATCCAGCGATGCTCGATAGTGTTACTAATGATCCACATGAAATGCTTCACTACTGGCGTAGTGCATTGGTTGGCTATGAAATTTTTTATTTAAAAGAAAATATTTATTAAGCATTATTTGTTCAGTATGTAGATTTAGGTGAGTCTCTTTATGGTGCGCCTGAAGATGCTTCAACTGAAGATGGAAAATGGTGGAAAAATCTAATCGCAGGTGGTATCGCCGGCGCTGTATCAAGAACAGCCACTGCTCCATTTGATCGACTTAAAATTATTATGCAGGTAGAGCAACCTTTTCGAAAATATAAGTTTCTGGCTTGTCTTTTCATTCTGATGAGATTTTCATAGATCAATTAATTTTCTTGAAGTTTCTTAGTATTTGGGCTCAAGACAACGGATGTCAGTTTTAAATGGTTATCGGTATTTAATAAAAGAAGGTGGTGTCAGAAGCTTATGGCGTGGAAATGGTGTTAATGTTTTGAAAATCATACCTGAAACAGCACTTCGATTTGCCTTCTTCGAAGAAGTATACAATTGATATTTGAATCAAAATTCCTCATTATAATTTATTACGATAATTCATAGGCAAAAAAAATATTGAAAAAAATGCAAAATAAAGAATTAAGTACAGAAACAACAATTGCCGAACGATTTGCAGCTGGAGCAATCGCTGGTTTTCTTTCTCAAACAGTAGTTTATCCATTAGATGTAAATTTTATTTTCGACGTAAGACATTTTAATGACTTTTTTTGTGAATTTAGGTCTTAAAAGTGCGTTTATGTTTAAGACGTACCGGTGAATTTTCCCATTGGACAGATGCTGTTAAACGTATGTATCGCTTCGAAGGTCCCAAAGCTTTTTGGCGTGGTTATGTGCTTAACCAAGTTGGTATAATACCGTTTGCTGGATTTGACTTAGCATGCTATGAAGTAAATATATCTGTGAATGAATTGTAATATTATAATTTTGTTCCAAGAGAAATTTTCTATTCGAAAGATCATAAGTAACGCTTTTCACTATACGAGATGGCATGGGCCATGCTTTTTTGCTGTTGATTGTCATTATTAGTATGATCAAGATATGTAATTACATCTTGAATACAGATTTTCTACACATTCATTACGCAACTGTAGAAACTCAATACTTCAAATTAGCGCTTAAGGAAAGCTTTGTGCAAATGACACAATCTTCGATAGAACTGAGTTTCTGATATTACAAAGTAGCAGTCTAATAAAGTTGCAATTCACTCATACTCCNACCCAATGATCGCGTCTAACATAATTACTTATCGATTTAGACTTTAAAAAATCTTTACATCAAGAAACATAACCATCAAGAACCACCTATATATGTAGTACTTGGTTGTGGTGCAATTTCGTCGTTTACTGGTCAATTAGTTACATATCCAATTGCATTGTTGCGTACACGTCGGCAAGGTCAAATAGTACCATTGCCAAATATGGATCAGTCTAAAGCTCACCCAATAATACCAGCCACACAAATGCTAAAAGAAATATGGCACAATGAAGGCATAGTTGGATTATATCGTGGACTTGTACCAAATATTTTAAAAGTTATACCATCTGTTTCAATATCTTATTTAGTCTATGAAACAGTTATAAAAGCTATCCCGTGATAAGCAATTCAATGCCAAGTATTTATAAAAACATACGACATATGATCTTTTCATATATGCCAAATTTGAAACTTGAATTCAATAGAAAATTAAAATTTTCAATTTTCAACTGAATTCAAGTTTCAAGTTTGACACTACTACTGGATCTTTTTTAGCCTCGATTTTTTAATTTCTGCTTTTTTCATTCTAACAGTTCGGTTCGTAATTTGCGCGCAATATTTTTTTTCTCATATATTTGCTTTGTTGTGTACAACACTAAATTTAGACACTAGAGATATGACAAATAAATTTATTTTCTACTAATGCTCAATAAGAAATCATTCTCATTAAATACATCAGATACTACAGATATAATCAACAGAACGAGTGGACATTGCGAAACAGGTACAAAAAATGCAACGAATGGTCTAATGTAATTTTTAATAAAAATCAATCACAAAGCTGACTTTCTATTAGTTCAGCGTATTCAGAGTGTATATGTAAACTTTCTTTCCATTGACAAGGAAGTTCACACTCGGAAGCAACTATTCTACAGCCGTCATGATGATTACGGTGAGACTTTTAGACTAGTTACGTTCGTGGCCTTCGATTCATTTTTGTTAACTTGGATGTTAACAATTTTTCAACACTTTCGAATCAGAACTCCAAATGGGATGGGATAATTTTCTTGTCCCATGATATTTTCGTTCTCATGAAATATGACTCTAACCAAGTACTTTGAAGAAGTTCGATGTGATCTCATTTATGATACTCTCACGTTTAGTTTTATCTTTCAACACAAACAGATTCGTTGCTAACCTTTTCCTAAAAGTTGAATCAACAAGATTTGAATTATTGCTGCAGAACTCTGCGCTTCACAGTACGTTTTGTTGTTTAACATACTTGTCCTTACTATTGAGTATGCACATAAATAACATGACATGGCTATAAAGAATCTTCAGTACACATTAGTTTCCAAAATAATGTTCCATAAGTTTTGTTTTTTAAAGTTTAGATTTCAACTCGTTCCACAACGGTCTAAAGGAAAATGTACGAGTTTGCAACATAGAAGAAAACAATCTCTACATATCGTTAACAATCTAGCAAAGCTCACAAAATTTATCAGAAGCTGATAAATCATGAAGGCAAAACTCCACTACTTCTCTTCTTGATACATTGAGGTATGGAAGTAAAATCATTTGAGAGAACATGTTGAGCTTCGGCTCTGGTAGTATCTAGTCAAATTGTATAGATACCAATGGGTTCTAAGAAACGATCACAGAGTTCACCAAAATGTTAATATCATAAATTATCAATATTGGTCTTTATCTAAGCATGAGTAGATACGGCACACCTCATGTTATTGAATAAAAGCCGTTATAGAAATCGGTTCAAAGCTGTAAAAAGTCTTTTTAAATAGACACGTTGTCCCGATATCTATCGCAAATACAATGAAAAAAAAAGCAAGCCATCAATGTTTTTATCAGAGAGGGAAATAATTTTCATGCGCAAGAGTAAAAAGAATATATGCATACTAAAGAAGATTAAGGATCTAACACGATGCCATTCAAGTTCTTGTGCACATAAGAAGCAAGCGATAGTGTGATGAAATTTTCTTTCTTCATTTATTATTGGCAATTATATCATAAACTGAAATTCGGCCGACATTTAGCCTTGAGTGTCCGTAAGAAAATCACGTGAATACATCTAATGTAGAAAATGGCCGTCTGTCTCCACTGCAGTTCAATATCTGCCAAACTAAATAATTACTGACCGGACAGAAAAATTATCTCTGATTATGAATGTAAAAAGAAAACTCTCAGCAAAACTTTTCAACTGCAATCATGAATAATTCTGTCTCGAAAACTGCATCTTTAAATACGACAAAAGATTAAAAACTATTCGACCATCTGAATCGGTAAAGCGAATGCATGTGCATCAGTCGTAGAATAAATTCAAAATCTATACGAAAATAAAAATGAAATAGTATTCGTCATGACCTCTGAAACACTTCTATAACACTTGGCACCATATATTAATCATATGCTGAAATTGAATACTACTCACATCTTTCGTGGCAATAAACGATAGCATGCAGTATGGGCAAGGAATAGGGCCGCATTTAACTTTGTATATATTTCCATCACACCGATTTGTAGACTATTACCGATAGTTGTCAAACAATTTTTTAAAGATATAACGTTGAGTATGATAATTGTAAATGAACGAAATTCTACAGGAGTTCTTTATCAACTGCAATCTATTTTTATGTAGTCTCAAACATTTAGGAAAATTTTCATTAATATAGCTGATGATCAACAAACCATAAAAGACTTAGTCACGTTTTGTCTTGTCTATAAAAAAAAAGGCATTTTAATAATTAAGAAATGAAATTTATAAAGAATAGACTTTGGAATGTTCGCCAGTCAATTGATCGTTGGCATAAGAAGCAAATGAGCCAATATTAGAGACAAGTCTTGACAGTCTACGTCAAGAAAATGACTTCAACCAAATGTTCACTTATTTCTTTCAATAGCTTTTTATCCAACAATAAAAATTTATAGATTTGAACATAGAATTGGTTTGATTACTAGGAAATGCCATTAATACATCTTTCCCATCGAAAAAAACAAATACCTCTAGATAAATATTTTCAGCGAGAATTTTTCGCATCTCAAATATTCTATGATTGTTTTTGTCCAGTGTGGGTATTTAACCTTATTTATTATTGATACATGATACCGTCTTAAAGAATGCTGCCAAAGTATATGAATCTTTTGGTTCTTTAAATTTTCATACTTGGTAAGAAATATTTATATGATAATTAATATTAATACATAATTCATCGGTGTATATCCAACATTTTTACTAATTCTCTTACCTACAATGCTGAATTTCATTTTGACAACGAATATCAGGACACTACAGATTTTTACAGAATTATTAGTAATATGTTATGGGTAGCTACCCTTGACTTTCTTTTATCGTATATATACGCATCACAGCTGCCATGGAGCAAGTCAAGAGATCCAAAAGCAGATATGTGATTAGAAAAGTTTTCTATCTTACTGAAAGAAGCAAAATGAATTGCAAACTGTTGATCATAATTGTTACTCTACTCAATTTATTATTGATTGAAAGTCAAGGGCATGAACTACGTGAGCATCCGCTCGATCGGAACAGCCAGTACAAATCTATTTGAATGCATATTTTATGAATTATTTATTGCATTTTTTCAGTGCTGCAAAGAACGAATTCCTTCATAAAACGCGTCATCAGTTATGCAGATACTTATAACTAAAACTTGCTCCTATTGCTGTTGAAATATTTCTATTCGATTTCATTCACGTGTACGTCGCAGTTATGGCTGTAATGGAGACAATCATGGTGATCATAGATTATGTAGAGAACATTGTCGAAGTAGAGATTACAAAAATGGACGGTGTACTAGATTTTCCAATTATACTATGTGTCAGTGTTATCCGATCTGGTTACGAACACTTTGAGCGTATGTTTGAGAAAAAATAATGCTGATATGAAAGCTGTGTATTAGATAATCTTCATTTCAGTTTTAATAAAAATTCTCATAATCTCAGATTGACAAGAGAAATGATATTTGTATAAACGGATAGAATGAATTGAATCTAACACAATATATCTAGAGTTTGCGCCGTTGAAAACTTGGTACCTAATATATCAATAGTAGAATATTAACGTATTGGCTGCAGAAAACCTTATATTATTTCATCTTAGCATGATACAGGAGTCATTTGCGAGAAAATATATACAAGGCATATAAAAAAAAGAGGTTAAATAAAAAGATTTCAAGACTACAGGATGTAACGTAACAAATAGTGGAAAACAGCTGAAACTCGTGGCCTTTATTACTCATAGTTATTCTCTATTGATGATCACTCCGGTTCGGAGATTGGTCTTCTGTAGTCAATATGAATTTGAGATAGATGAATTGTTTTTCCACGAAATAGATCTCCGCGAAAGATTCCTTTGCAACCAATACGAATAGTTATTTTTTCGAAACAACATGGATATACAATTTGAGAGCACTGTCATTCTAATAGGTTCGGAAAAATAGAAATATTCATCGTATCGGTGTTAAAATACTCTGGAAGAATATGCCAAGGGAGAAAAACTCATTCTGGCATTTCCTGCCGTTCTCAGCCATTAGAATGGCTCTGAATGACGTTTTCCCCTTTGCATATACTACAGAATGACGTAGTTTAAAAGCGTGTATTTATAATCTTTTTTTCTTTTCTGCTTTTGTTTTCGTGTGTTTTGACCCATCTTACATCGTTACTTGATATCCCCCGATTTTATTTCTTAACATACGCAGTAGATCTTCACCCTGCTTTTCATCATTTGCTGTTCGGTTTCTTTATTTCACCACAATCTAGTCAGAATGTATATCGATTGCTTAGTGCGGTTGTTAGTATACTTGGGTGTCTTGCATTAACTCTCCACACCATCTAGTATGGCAATCTTACAAGGTAGATGTTAATTCAATGAATCCTGTTATGCTCGTCTACATTCTCTCCTTTTGAAAAAAAGAATTAGTTCGAATTCGATTCATTTTTTGGTCTCCGGCGGATATGTATATATTGTTATATTTTTCATGCCGAAATTCCTATTGTCGAAATTCCATAGAATTGATGCTAGTATTTAGAAATCTTCACCGATAAAATTGGATAGCCTATGATTATAAAAGATCACACATGAAGCAGGCCACACCGTACTCATAGGGCCCATAACAATGATGACTTGACTTCTCTCATGAACTGTTACATATAAATTAAAAAAGATATATTTCGCCGGCTTATAAATAAAAATTCACTTAAATCTTGCTTCAATTTGTGGTTTTATTTCAAGAATTTATCATGACAATAAAAACCTTGCTAAGTATCTCGTAAATAAAAAATATTTATATTTGATGAACATGACTAACTTGTCAAGTATTAAGTATGGGAAATCATCTAAAAACATTATTCAAATATCAATCCATTGTA